CTCAGTTACAGGCAACGAAGACCTTACTCACCGAGGGACAGAGAATCGCTTACGTCGGTGTAACTCGCCTCATTATATTCCAGATGGTCAAGGACCTGGAGGGTATCCAATCCACAAAATCAGCTCGTAAATATCTAGCGGATGCCGCTGACGCCACAGCAAAATGGGGCCAGCAAATGATGATTCGACTCTATGGCCATATGGAGATCGACGCGGCAGAACAAGTAATGATTGAACAGCTGGCTGAGCATGGAGTTCAACCGGCGGACCTCGTTCCTCCCCTTATGCAAAACTCGCGAGTCAAGAATCCTGCTGCGGATTGTTCGGCTGCAAAGGATGCCTCTGATTCTGCGAGCTCCAAGGCGGATCGTCCTGCCAGTTCTGTTTCAGGGACTTCTGAAGCTCTCTCGACTAGTACCTCACCACCTCCCTATTCAGAACATCAAAATGATGACCTGCCTGAAGTGCGAACGCCTTCTCAACTACCATCATCTAAGAAGCTTGATATTGATCTCCGGTGGACGGTGCTGTGCGATCTTTTCTTGGTGCTCATCGCAGACTCAACATATGATGCCAGATCACGTCGTTTGCTTGAGCGGGTAGCAGAGACGATGGACATTTCCTGGATGCAAATATGCCGATTTGAGAAACGGGTTGTTGATGCTTTGGAAATGCAAGAAGAGAGAAACAAGGAAACATGGGATGAGGCTGAGCATATGGAAAAACGCAGGAAGGAAGCACTGAAGCGAAGATACATGATTATGGGGCTCGCGACCGTGGGTGGAGGCTTGGTCATTGGCCTGTCAGCCGGCTTACTGGCCCCTGTCATTGGGGCTGGACTGGCTGCGGGCTTCACGACCATCGGGGTATCCGGCACTGGTGCTTTCCTTGGTGGAGTGGGTGGTACTGCATTGATCACATCTGGTGCCACTCTTACGGGAAGTACAATTGGTATCAGGGCATCAAACAGACGGACTGGAGCCGTTAAAACCTTCGAGTATCGCCCATTGCATAATAACAAGAGGCTAAACCTGATTGTTACTGCCGCTGGATGGATGACTGGCAAGGTGGACGATGTTCGGTTGCCATATAGTACAGTTGACCCTGTTATGGGCGACATATACTCCATTTTATGGGAGCCGGAAATGCTTCAGAGCATGGGTGCTACTATCAACATCCTTGCGACAGAGGTACATATTCTGTTTACTCTTCCACTGCCTTTAATTTGCTGACCGTAATTAGGCTTTAACCCAGGGTCTTCAGCAAGTTCTCGGAAGTACAATCTTGACTGCGTTAATGGCTTCGTTACAGCTCCCAATTGTTCTCACAAAGCTCTCTTATTTGATTGACAATCCCTGGAACGTGTCACTTGCCCGGGCCAATGCCTCTGGCCTTATTTTGGCCGATTCGCTTATCGACCGAAATCTCGGAAACCGTCCGGTCACTCTTCTAGGTTTCTCGTTGGGATCAAGGTTGATTTTCTCTTGCTTGAAAGAGCTTGCAAATAAAAGAGCGTATGGCATAGTTCAAAACGTATATCTGTTTGGTTCCCCTGTTGTCGCAAACAAAGACGAGTACCTTAAAGCTCGAAGTGTTGTTTCAGGAAGGTTTGTGAATGGATACGCGTCTAATGATTGGATTTTGGGATACCTTTTCCGAGCCACGAGCGGCGGAATCATGCGTGTGGCAGGCCTGGCACCTGTTGAGGGTATACCTGGGATTGAGAATTTTGATGCCACCAAGTTTGTAAACGGCCATATGGCCTACCGAGCTGCCATGCCCCGACTTCTTCGAGAAGTTGGATGGGAGGTGGAAAGCGATGAATTCACCGAAATAGAAGATCCCGACCCTGATAGCCATCAGGAGAGACAGCGAGAGCTTATACGTGAGATCCAAGAAGCCCGGAAGCAGGCGGAAGAGAAGCCAGATAAGAAGAAATTTGGCTTCTTCAAACGAGGGAAGCTTGCGGAGAAAAAGGGATGGGAGACTTACGATGTTGACCAGGGTGATCGCAGCCCTACCAATTCGTGTGACGGTAACGCTGATCCTGGAGGCACGGTCCTGTTTGATATCGATGCAATCCGAGCAGAACTAGCCAGTGAGCAAATTCAAGTGAAACAACTCGAGTCAACATTGCCGCCGATAAGGTTGCATCTCAATCCACCATCTCCCGTTGCGTCTCCGAGCTTCCACGGACAGAAGAAAGCACCACTGCTGAGCACAGAACTGGAGGAAGCCGCAATTGAGTCTCACACAGCTTCCGACTCACCAAGCGAGCCAGCAGATGCAAGACTCCAAGATTTCAAACCCCTACCAGATTTACCTTCCGATGGAAACCCATTCAACGAGTCATGGCGCCAAGAAGAAATCCAAATGACATTCGACACCGCATACCACCAGACACCATCTACGACATCACCCTCTCTGGCAGAGTCAGGAAACCACGAACTGGGCCCCGTGTCATCGAATCTGACTCCTTTACATTCCGTGACTCAATCACCAACAGAGACGCACAACGACCCTCCTCGGCTGGCACATTTCGACAAGTCAGGCCTAAATCACAACGCCTGGGCTACTGATGATGATGACTCAAGCATCAAGCTCTCCTTTGCTTAGGAGATCTTGTAACGACGAGCCTTGCCCCGTTTCATTCTTGCGAAATATTTATTTCTCTTTCCGTTTATATTTGCCCTTCGATGTCTAAATGCCTTTGATAAATTCACTAGAATGGAGAGGGAGGTTTGGTTTGTATGGAGTCCCCGTGTATAGCAGCATATGACTGAGAAGGCAGTGGAATGCTGACATGATTGTGTGCATCATCATCGGCGTCGTCTTTTTGGTTGACTGTTGACGAGTATGAATATACGGTTATATATTATGCTCTCACACATCTTACAAGCTATTTGAAAACACCGATACAATTTTTCCTCTCACACCCACTACCAGACCAATCATAGCTCTGGATCAAATCATGACAGCGACCTGTAGTGATAAAGTTCGGCATTTTGCATCTTGTTTTGGTTGTTGCAGTCATACTCTCTCTATGGGGAACAAGATTATTGTCAGAATATTGGTATTTTGTCGTTTCTTATCACCGAACAAGGTGACTCAACCATTCTTTATATGAATGACAGTGGCCCCGAGGAGTCAGGATCCTTCTGTTTGGTCATATTATGACTGATTGCCTCTTGACGACCTCAAGATCAACTTCTCTGAGTCATTCCCAGGATTGGACTATAAAAGGGGCCTCATCCCCCCGGTTGGATTCATTTTTCTGGCCTTTTTTTGGTCGTCTCTGTCTTTCCAGCATATCTGCAGCAGGAGATGGTGCTCTGACACTAACAACACGATTCCACCACCGCTAATAATACACAACAGCGCTAACTGTCTGTCAAGGCAACGTCCGAACATTGGTCTAACGCAGCTGTCATTGATTCCTTCGGCCGTTTTCTAATCCCATGACTGGTCTCGATCCTCCGTGTGTTTTCTTCAACGTGGTGGTTACGGTAAGCAGACGCGACCCTGCCTTTGCCATTTGACAAGCCAGTCTTACTTTTATCTAGGAATGGCTTTTATATAGAATCAACTCCATAAATAGATAGCTATATATATATTGGCTACACTAACTACCTAGGTTGAATCAGCACCCCGAACATTGGTATCGACTCCGGTCGTCGTCGGTTCTCTCGAACGATTTCCACTCCCGGCGAACAGCGGCGGTAATAAAAGGACGACCTGGACTCCGACGAACGGCGGTCACAGCGGACGACTTCGATTCTCGGCGAACGGCGGGCACGACAGACGGATAAACGGTCTCGACTCCTGGCGAACAGCGGCGGCCACGACGGACGACCTCGATTCTGACGAACGATGGTGTCGACTGCGGACGAACGACGAACGGCGGCCGCGACGAACACAGCGGACGACTTCGATTCTCGGCGAACGGCGGGCACGACAGACGGATGAACGGTCTCGACTCCTGGCGAACAGCGGCGGCCACGACGGACGACCTCGATTCTGACGAACGACGGTGTCGACTGCGGACGAACGGCGGCTGCGACTCCCACACATGGCTTGCGATTCCTGCTATTATGCCATTCATGACATTCGCTTTCCGGTTTTTGTGTCTTTTGTCGTTATACATCTGTTTTCCCCTGCATAGCCTATTTGCTTCTTTTAAATTCTTTTAATCCTACATTCTACCATGCCGTCATACATCTGTTTTCCCTGCATAGCCCATGTGTTACTTCGCAATTCTTTAAAGCTGCGTCTTGTCGTTATACATCTTGTTTCCCTTGCACATCCCCTTCCCAGCCCAGTCGCACGGGCCCTGTGTGCGACACCTAAGCATGACTTGCACCTCTACGTGGTGCTTAGGACTAGTAGCCTTGATGGTGAAGCCAAGCAAGTCACTTAACCTCTTTTTTTTCCTTTGTGGGTGATAAGCAGTTGCATGTCTGTACATAATATCTACGTACCTACATACATACATACAAACTGCTGGATCTACACCAATTCAGTTTAAAGTAGTATAAGTGGCTAGTATGCACACACATGGCATACCTTGCTTGCGGGATACAGTCAAGGTCTTTTCCTGACTCACGAATAGAATATGTCATATGGAGTGTAGTTACGTATGTCCAGTAGAGTCAAAGCATTGACTCTTTAGAGGTGAATGATGCCAAGACTCCAGTAGTTAAGGAGTAGTCAACCAGGTCGCCTGGCCGGACTCCACCTCAGAAGCTTCCTTTGACACACCACTGACCAGCAGGCCAACGATCCACGGTTCCCTCCCGTTTGCACTGAAGTATTGCCACGAGGTGAGCTGGCTGGGCTGGGCTGGACGCGACTCTTGCGGACCTTGTTCGTTTCTTCACTCATTCTCAACTCCGATGACTCCGAAGTATGCTCCCTGAGCTCTCCATCGCATTCTCCGCTTCGAAAAACGCGAGCCATCACCCTGCCACCGGCGCGTTTAAGTGAATTTCCTCCTCGCAAACATGGGATTCCTAACGAAAACAAACTTCCGTGGGAGTCTTTTATTGACTCGGGTTGAAGGTAGGAGTACAAAGAGGCAAGCAAGGTACTCCACAGGCGGTGACGACTCGTCAAGCGACCCGTTAAGCATGAGCGACGTTTCGCCCGCAAAGAAGCGGAAGAAAGGGAAGCCAGAGCCCGCTACGGACGATGAGCCTATAAGCTCCTCGAATGACAGCGACAGCCCGAGACTCTCCAACGGAACGCCCAAGCCTCGCCATCGACCTCGCACGGAATTTACGCCGGGGGATCTGGAAGCTGACTTGGCCGCTATTGACGCGGATGCCACGCCAAAACCACGAAAGAAAGCCATATCTACACCAAGGGTCGGCGAGAGACGATCAAAAAGGATATCGAACGTGGGGATAACCGCGCAGGACGCCAATGCTAGTAAGGATGCTAGCAACGAGCACTCTCCGGGAAGTCGTGCCTTTGGAGACTCTTTGGTATTCTTTTCACGTGTCCCTAAGAAGGGGAAGACTTACCAAAGAAATCCGTTTAATAATGTGCATACCCCTACGAAGACAGAGAAAAAGCATGAATTTATTGTGCCACGCAATGGACCAGATATCCCGGATACCGTGCGTACCCAAAAGCCCTCTGATAACCCCGAATTCAAAGTGCCAATGGCGATCCCGAACGATTCCTTTTCAAGTGCATCCTTTCCCACGGATGATTCTTCTCGCGAAGTCCCAGAAACTTTTGTATTCGACGACCATAGCGGGTCGTCATCCCCATTAAGCTCCGTAGCGCCATCTAATATGGATCTCACTGTGGACGAGAAGAGGTTTCTCGATGCAGCGTCCGGTGATTTTGTCCGATGCCAGGCATGCCGTGAGCTACTTGATCCCGAATACCTAGCTGAGTTCCAGCTAGAAAAAGGAGTTAGTGTTAGACGACAAATGCAAGCTTGCCAACAGCATAAGCGGTGGACAGCAGAGCGTGACTGGCGCCAACGAGATTATCCCACCATTGACTGGGAGGGACTGGAAGACCGTATCCAAGCGTACTTTGCTGAACTAGATCAAATATTGACTCGCAAAAAGCCGTCGTTCTTTCGTAACTTTTTGGAGTCTTCAAATACTGGAAATAGTAAAAAGGATAATTTCCGCCTCACAGCGAACAGTCAGTTTGAAATGATGTCCAGTGGATACTACGGCCCACGTGGCGCCAGACTAATGTACGTGTGTACCAACCCATTTGCTGACCAGTTGGTGACCGGTAGCTGACCAGTTGCTCAAGGATGGACGCTATCATCACAAAATTCGCGGCCAAGCTACGACGTCTAGGACCCTCGGATTCGTTAATGCAAGCCGCTGGCGCCTCTGGCTTTGTGCAAGCGGTGTTGGTCCCAGAACTAACGGTGATGCTAGTTAAAGATGATATGGGTGTCGGAGACGAGACTGCGCGACAGATCATGAGAGAGAGTAACATGATTGGCAACCTTCTCAATGATCAGCCTGATGACGATGTCAAAGTTGATGAAGATGGAAATTCCCGGAATTGATTTGTCATAAATCATGGAATGATTCCGTCGTATGCATGTCCTTGCCCTCATCCGCGACTTTCTTAAGCTAAGGCGTTTGGTTGGGTAATTTTTTATATTCGATATTAGCATTAAATTGGATCGGGCTTCGGAAGTTGATGTGTGTATACTCGATATATATATTGACATTCATCTCTATACGTATCCTTTTATTATTTTTGAAGGCATTTAAGAGTTATACACCCACGAATTGTTACAAGAATATATGAAATGAGTCGCGATGGTCAAGTGTTATCTCCAGATATTCTCTGAAATAACCATACAAGCTATTATTTAATTTGGAACCTGGAAGGGGGTTTATTCAAGATCTCTTCCCTCTGTAGGCCATCCCAAAAACAAAGAGGCCGTATGTTGCCAACGCACTTAATCCCAACGGCACTGGCTTTCGAGTCTTAATCGCTCTTGGAATTGCGCTCCCGCCCAAAACTGCGGAAGCAACAAGTCCCAGCTCCTCTCCATACGGTTGATTGCCGTTAAGGCGGAGGTAACTGAGGGCGTAGAGGGCGCCAACAGACAGGCCAGCGGCAATAGAGGGCACGGAGCCGGTGCGAGCATAACCGGCAATACCGCCGAGGGAGGTGAGAACGGAGAGAGCGGCAGCGGAGTAGGTAGTGTTCTGAGGAGACTGGACAGCTGATTAGATATGTCATTAAGGGTGAGTGGGTGTGTCAAATTCGTACTACCATTGTGCCTGGGCTTCGCAGATTAAATTGCGGAAGAGACGGAAGGCGATTGGTGGTAGAGAATGTAGTTGAGAGGCTCAATTACGCTCAATTGAAGGCAATATAAAACCCTATAATGGGGGGTTCGAATACAAACATGTGTCCGTCCTTGAGGTCAGATATTGATGCTTGACTGCAAATGCAACGTCCATTCACGCCGAAAGCAGCGGAAGGGCGCGCTGGGCTGCGGGGGAGCCGGGCGCGGGCGGATTAGGTCATCATCGCGGAGACGGAGTTAAGGAGCTCGGGCCACCAGGTCTTGGCGTTGACGCGTGCTTAAAGGACGATCTGTTCGTTTCAGAGCTCCACGCAAGCCGGTTGAGGGACGACAAGCGCAGCGAGGCCGGCGTCAATTGCGCAGTTGTATCAAGAACCTCTCCATCGTTTGCCAATCAGTTCCGCTGCCAGTTTACCAAGATGGCTCCGAAACGCCCAGTAAACGGTGCGGCGACACCGCCAGCTTCGAAGCCGAGTTCCAGCTCGGTGACGGCCACGACGACCACCAAGACCGCGACCCCCGTCGCATTCACGACGAAGTCCCCGCCTCAAGACATAATTTTGGGAATATGGCAACGGTATCTCGTGCAAACAAGCCAGCGAACAAAGATGCTGGATGCATTCATGGCATTTCTCGTCGTAGTCGGCGGGGTCCAGTTCGTCTATTGTGTTTTGGCAGGGAATTACGTACATATCCCCCTTTTCCCCATCATCCACCCGGTCTGGAGCTTGCAGGAAATCATTCAAAGCTGTAGACTAACTAACATCTTTGCCTTTCTTCTCGTTAGCCGTTTAATGCTTTCCTAAGCGGTTTCTCTGCAGCAGTGGGCCAATTTGTTCTCACAGCGAGTCTTAGAATGCAGACCAGCGGCCAGGATGCGAAGGGCACATTGAAAACGAAGTCTAGCGCGTCAAAAGGGTCAGCAACTCCGGCACAGGGAGATCTTGCGTTGGACGCAGTGTCTCCTGAACGGTAAGCCATACTCCTTTATACTATTTACCCCTCAGGATCTAGATCTGACTGTGCACTTCGCAGGGCATTCGCCGATTACGTGTTTGGGAGTGTAATACTGCATTTTTTCTGCGTTAACTTTATAAATTGAGACGGTGCCGTATCGCGGATTTATTGCTTTTATCGCCAGCTGCGCCGTGTTATACTACTATCGATTACCCTATTTCGAAATTCCGGATCGTTCACAGCCTGCAGGCCCGGGGTGTTCACAAAATGGCATTTTACATTGGATCCCAGTTTATTCGGCGGTTCATCTTGTTCCTTGTACATTATCTTAGAAATGAAAAGGTGAAAGGCAGGAGGTCGAATCTATATAAAACCCATGCTGTATCTATAATAGCAACCTAATGCACGATTTCAGGATGGAATATCGTCAGGAAAAACCAAGGGGTATACTTTGATGCAAGTTTGCATAGATGTTGAAACTAGAATCCTCGCCCAACCCTCTTCGCGGGAGGTCTCCTAACCACGCTCCCGCTCGTCTTCGTTGCTGCTGCCGACGCAGGCCTTCGAACCGCAGACCTTACTCCCACCGTTGCGGAGCCAACAGTGGCCTCTTGACGCCTCTTCAGCTTTTCTTTTTCTGCTTCTTGACTTGCTATCAGGGCGGCTCGTTCTCGATCGGCCGCCATTTGAGCTTCTATTTCCATGCGACGGTTAAACTCATGCTCTGTGACACGGCGCTCGCGGGCAGAATAACCCTTCTCTTTAATAGAGTAGAATACGCCGCCAAGATCAGCAAGCCACTGGAATCTGTAAGTATCATGAAAACGAAGAATGCGAGAAGATGGGGCATATACTTACACGAGGATCAACAGATGTGACACAGGACATGTACTCCTTGCTGGTCAGGATCAATTCATGATATACAACGTAATCAGGTAAGAACCCAAGGCCGTATAAAGCGCTTGTAGGGTGGAGTTGCACTGTGACACTCGTTCGTAGATTTATATATTCGCCAATTCCTTTGACTCTAGCGGCCTGATGATAATATCCGGAACAAATACATTTTCGAATAATATCCCAATCGGTGCCACAGCTCTGAAGTGTCATCTTTTGCATGCACATGATGTCGGAGAGTTGTTCTCGAATCTCTTTGGCCCGTCGCAGCGCCTTGGGGTGAAGGAAGTGTCTCACACACCAACCGTCTGAATATCCGTTGGCTTTCCATTGAGTATAAACGTGAAGGAGGGTAAGGTGATCAGATTCGGGCACGAAAAACTTTTCGCGAGCAGCGTCGGATTCTTCTTGGCGTTCTTTCGGGCGATAGAAGACACTCGGCACCGAGAGCATCGAGACGATGGTAAGCATTTCATCGCTGCATTCATACTCCTCTGACGCAGTAATGAGCAGTTTTGCTAGAGATGGGTCCATGGGGAAGGCGCTCATACGGCGGCCCATGGGCGTGAGATCCCCAAGATTATCAATAGCACCCAATGCCCAAAGGTCGAATAGGGACGTTGTGATAGTGTCTTGTGGAGGCGGATCCATGAAATCAAAATCCAGCAAATCTTTGACTCCCAGCGATTTGAGTAGGAGAACGGTGTTAGCAAGATTGGTTCGCTGAATCTCTGGAATTGTTTGAATATAGAATTCATTCTTGAAAGCCAGTTCGGTATATAAATGATAGGCTTTCCCTGGACCCGTTCGCCCAGCTCGACCTGCGCGCTGTGATGCATTCGCCTGGGAGATTGGCGTAATCTGTAAGGTGTCCATACCCATGCGTGGATTGTAAACCTTCAATTTGGAGAAACCACAATCGACCACGTACATGATACCATCGACTGTTAGACTAGTTTCGGCAATATTAGTAGCAACAATCACCTTTCTAACTCCAGGAGGCGCTTTATCAAAGATTTTGGCTTGCAGATCCGCGGGCATTTGACTATAGATCGGCAGGACGCTGATTTTTGGAGGATCATTTAGAAGAGCAAGCCTCTCATGTATAAGGTCGCAAGTAGCCTCGATATCCTCCTGACCCGTCATGAATACAAGGATATCTCCTGGACCTTGGGAAACGTGAATAGCAAGGACCTGTTTAACAGCGCTGTCGACATAGTCTTCGCAGGGAGACCGGGAATACTGGATGTCAACAGGAAAAGTTCTTCCTGGAATGAAGAATTCCGGTGCACCTCCGTAGAATTTCGAGAACCGCTCAGCATTCATTGTGGCCGATGTCACAATCAGCTTCAGATCCCGCCGACGTGCGAGAACCTTTTTGATTAATCCCATTAAAACATCTGTGTTTAGAGCCCGTTCATGGGCTTCGTCCATGATGATGCATGAATATTTATCAAGGTCAGGCTGCACCAAAGACTCTCTTAGGAGCACGCCGTCGGTCATATCTAGGGCCTCCGGTTAGCTTCTACCTTCAAAATTGAAATAGAAAATGTCTTACATTTTATGACAGTTTCGTTGCTAGTGCAATCTTCAAAACGGATTGCATATCCAACGAGACCACCAAGCTTAACTTCCATCTCCTCACTCACACGTTTCGCTACACTCATCGCCGCAACACGTCGGGGTTGTGTACAGCCGATCATGCCCAGCGCCCCATACCCATCTTCGTACAAGAATTGGGTTAGCTGAGTAGTCTTCCCAGAGCCGGTCTGGCCAACAACTATCACAACCTGATTGTCTCTGACAACTCGTAATAATTCTTCTCTGACTGCGAATGCCGGTAGAAACTCTCGTTGTTCACGAAGAGTTTTGCTCCTGCTGAATGCGCTAACACCTTCATTCTTCTTCAAGTGCTGCGCAAATTTGCTGCCCCCTTTGTGGTCTTCTTCGCCGGGTATAGCCGCTGCACTATCACCTTCATCTTCCTTGATACCCATAAGATTACCCAACGCAGTTCCAGCAACATTCGTAGCATCCTGGGCCTGCTTTTGTCGCTCTTTGAGCTGCCTTCTTTCCCGAACAACCTTACTGCCCTTCCGGCTAAAGACAGCCATGTCGCTTTGTGGATCCCTCACGGCCGGCACAGGTTCCAACTGCTTCGTAAATATCGTCCTCCCATCTAAAAAAGGCGGCCTTAAATCATGAACCAACAAGTGCACCCGAGTCGAATCTTCATCATCTTCAAAATCCGCCTCATAATCTCTCCTCTGCGCCACACCGGACGTCAACATCCGATTCGTTTCCCACGCATCCACGTCTTTCTGTTTCTGCACCGCACGCGCATTAAACCGGCGATTATTTTTCTTCTCAGACAATGCAGCTTCTCGCTGCATATCTTTCCATGAGTTATCTGGTCCGCCAAATGGATTGTGTGTTTCGTCACCGAAGGTATGTCCGAATTCGTCGCCAGCGTACCAGTCTCGATCCAATGCCATGGCATCCTCATAATTGACGAGAGGCTCCGGTCCATCAAACTCGTGTTGATGAGGGGTTGAGGAGCCATTGTGACTTCCCCGTGGCGTAGATAGCCCGTTATTATCCCTTCTCTGGCGTTTGAAGACGTGCCTTGGTGCTCGGGGCTGGGAAGAGGAGGACGCGTATCGGTCCGGATCAAGCTTGCGCCGCTTTGGGCTGTCTTCTCGGACCATTTTACCTAGGCAATTCTGAAATGGTGAAATTGATTATAGTCCAATCTATCCGTGGAGCCGTTGCAATCCTCCGAAAACCCACGATCACGGTTCTTCACGTCAGCGAGCCGTGGCGGAAGATAGTTTATGCAGAATGTTTGTCTTGTTTGCATCCGGGGCATTTTGCACGTTGGAAATCATATGAAGTACTCCGTACGGAGTACGCCGTACAGAGTCGGTAGAGACAACCAGCGCGTGAGTGATTGATCAAGCTGCAAAGGCATTACTGTTTAAGAAGAAATTCTCATATTCTCCAACTAAACTTCCCTCAGGTCCGTTCGCGTCTGGTTCCGTCTTCTCCTCCTTGTATACATATTCATACGCCTCGAAATTAAACACAAAATCACAAGACTAACTATTAAAGAAATCCCGTGTGGCTCTGAGCACTCAAATCTATAGCCCGATGATCTCCGCAATATCCTCTCCCCTTCATGTCTTTACTTCTCTCGCCGCCTCCAATGCGAGACATATTCTCATGCCTTGTCTTGCGCGGGGAATAGGTAGGTGCCATATGCTGACTTTCTGCTCATGCGCGACCTGCCGTCGTAACCTAGACCCCGGAATTGTCTTCGCCAATGCTAGTAGGTCTCGCCACCGGCACCATTGTGCGTCGCGCCTACCATTGGCGGATATCCGTATGTCGCGTTGTCTTGCTCGTTCGGGTCCAGATTCGTACTCAAAATGTTGTTGGCATTCTCGGGTGGAACTGCGAAGCCGGGTGCGGTCGCCGCTGGCCCACCAATGGCGCCGGCGCCTGCGGCGCCAGTGCCGCCGACGGGTCCACCCTGAGGGTATTCGCTGCTCGCTGGCCGGTTCTGGTTCTCCGCCCTTGAGGATTGGGTCTCAAACCAATCAATTCAATTGTTCAGATAGTTCGTCTTGCCAAGTCGAGACGATAAATGAAACTCAACGGGAATTTCAAAATAGTCATATGGGGTTAATCTAGTATACTTACTTCGCGATACTTTGATAGATAGATCTTCAAAGCCTCCGAGTAGTTCTCGAAACCAAGCGAGGTCATCGCGAACAATATGTCCTCGCCATTGACAGTCTTGCGCTTTTCTCCCTGACACTTCTCCGAAGCTATACATGGCGCCTAAATTTAGAATTTTCTTTCCAGCAGCCGATATATTGGGGAAGTACGAACCTTCGCTGGTGATGAAGGAGATGAATTCGCTTACACACTCCTGCATGCACTCCTTGGCCTCTTTGGCAATCTTCGCATTCTCGGGCAGCGCGGTCTTCATAATCCGGGCAACTATTGGCAAACTCGATCATTAGTACCAAATACTATCACTGGGAAGCAAACTCATTCATGATATAGGGTGGTTGTGAAGCAGTTAGTAGTGCTGTCAATTTAAAGCAAATATTTGAAGACCTTAACCAGAAGCAAACAAGCATGCGGAGCAAAGCGAATGACAATCAAGCAAAGTAACCGCGACGATGAGCAAATAAAACATTCCAAATAAGGGGATTTGCTTAACACGGCATGGAAGAACCGTCAAACGATTGCCGACGAAAAGTTAAAATCACGGGGACTTGAAATATTGCGTGTATCCGATCAATTGTAGGTGCGCGAAGGAAAGGCGTCAATAACGAACCATTTGCAATCGGGAGCCATCGATCCTGCTCTTTTACCTCAAATTCGCCTTGAGTTTGCGGTTGCGTATCTTGGTGTTCTCTTTCCATGTGCTCCGGGTCGTCGCCTGACTGTGCTGCTGATTCCACCTCAGGTTCCTTGGGATTCGAAGGAGAGGCCGACGACATGATTTTTACGTCTTTTTGGACACGCGAAACGGGTAGCGACTTCAGCAGGAATCACAGGGTTGCTCTGCTAGCCAGTGTACACGTCACTCCTCGTCGAATCTGAATCGGTCTATTTTCCGATCAGCCCAATGCACGGTTGCGTCAGAGCAAGGGGGCACGAGACTACGTGCTTATTCGCTTCACGACCGCCTCGGTTGAGCCTAAATGCAAGGTATGTGCGGAAGAACAGCAAGTTCGTTGGCTGCGTGCCTTGATGGGTTCTGCGGATGGGTCAGTTCCTGCACGAGACCAAGGATAACAACGAACCCCATTTCAACGCGCTGTGGAAAGGCGCAGTGCCTGCTTACCTCCTGCAATTGGGTGCGGAAGTAGGGAGGGTAGAGGTCGATGAAGTTGGGCGACGATTGGGTCAATTCTGACCGCAAGTTGGGCAGAGGGGAGGGAGTCGACTGCGGAAAGTCAAAGGAGACCTGCGCAACTGACTTCCGTGATTTGTTAGGTCCTGTGAACCGGTCAAACCATCAAATATAGGGACAGCGAAACACTGAAGCTGAATCGATGACAGTAGAAGCTCCTTACTGGGGTCACAAGTTCAACGTTGTGCAGACGCGGTGGCTTCGCGCAACAACAATCAGCGCGTCGGCTGGCCGCTGGGACAGGGCGCTTGAGATGGAATAACAAAAAAGTAAATGTCGTGCAATGTCCAGTTTGGGCAAAACAGTAGAAAGTGGTGAATGCAGAACTGTTCTTGGATACAACAATGGCTGATGTCCCAGGTTGATCTCAGGATAGAGAGCTGAAGATGGTACTGTTGTACTGTGCCTACTTATCGATTACACAGATGTTACAGCCATCCTTACACCATTTCCCCGCTTAGTGCTTATTAATTGTGGAAAATGTTTTTCTGGATACTGGTAATTACTCGTTTTGATAGCTAGAGCCTGGAGCCGCCCCGGAGTGAGCTCTGTGAATGCTTCAAGCAATCAAGATAGAAGATCTGGTGAAATTCTCCGGGGTGGAAACAGCACTTTGTGACCCTTCAGAAGTTTGATTGTCGAATAAAAAAATTAAGTTGTATTCTTTGGCTGTCAAATTATCTCCTGCCGCCAAATCTTATTGGGTTTCTCACACTTTCACCCCAGAAAAGAGCCCCATCAATGAAGTAATTGGATAAACGCGCTGCCTCAACAACAAGCAGTGAAACGCATTAAAACGCCGGTTCCCCAAACCAAGAGGGGCACAGCCATGCAGCAGGAATTGATTGTTGGCCAGCAGCCCTGCGATTGGGATGCAAGGCAAGCCCAGAACAGCGCCTTAGGCATCCATGAATATAGAGCAGCATATCGGCTTGCATGAATTGAACCATATCAAACACGAGCCTTACTGCACGGTAAAATCTTAGGCCTTTCCTGCCCAGCCTATTCGCTGGTAATATTGGACTGCATTCTCCTGGTACCCAACGAAGCATCAGAGAAAATTATGGAAAAAGAGTTCTCGGAAGGCCAAGGTGCTAAAACAAGCAGCCACCTGGTCATCGAATTATTGGGCATCTACTCCATATTTCTACGTCGCTTGTTTCGGGATGCGAGCTTTCGCCAACTCAGTCGCTGCGGCCTCGCCTGGATGCAAATATCGTCCTTGATGTCACTGATACGTCCTTAGCAGTAGCCGATATATAGCAGCCAGATGTCCCAATTCTTTCAGAATACATATATTCCTTTTATTATTTTTGCAGTTATATCGCCAACATCACACCCACCTTCGGCGGTGGCCAGCTGTCAGGCACGGGTGCAGACAAGAGATTATCTGTTGATACAAAGCCCCAATGTGGAATAACCTTATCAATTCAGTATTGCAACTCGATCTGTGCTCCGAAGGGCTTCGGATGAAACTATTCCGGGTATCGTTGGAAAGATTTATGGAACCCGAGCCGGAACGTGGGCGGACGAAAAACGACCTTGTGATCGCACATACGAGCTGTCCCATGGGACCAGATTATCTTCGTTGGATATCGTGTAAAATTGTAGACGTAACGCTTATTAGGAAGGCTACTTCATCCAGTCTCTCACTGCTGGACAACCTGGATGTTATTCTTCTTCTGCAGACGCGGACATTGATCAGCATTCCCGTGTCGACGCCCTGAACCGGCCAAAAGGGAATCTAGGGCGCCGTAGCTCACCTTCCAACTATCCATCTCATCCTGCTTCGTCTTATACTGCTTTAATAACTCGTCCAGAACCTGCTTTAGCCCATCCGAATTGGTCTTCAGGGCCGGGATCACGTCTTTGACCGTTCGCTCAACCAGAACGCCATTTATCATGCGGAAGCATTTTCGATCTCCGGAAAGAGGTTCTAGAGTCTCGATGACAAGTCTATATATGAATGAAACTGACAGTGAGCTTGAGTCATCCCCACGAGATGCATGGGAGAGCGGTTGGAGGGGCAGAGGGGTGAAACACAAGGCTGGGAATCAACAACCCTGCGGTCACAGGTTGAGCTGTCCGAGAACATGGTCACTGTCATACTTATGCTCTTCTGTTTCTTGTTCTATGTCTCCAATTTTCTGTGCCAGTTGTTGTAGAGTGTTCTTGAATGTAGAATATTGGAGCTGGAGCTCTGTGATTCGAGAATATCAGCCATCATTGACAGGACTTAGAGGGGACATGCTCTGAATAGGGAAAGGTAAAGAAAAAGGCTGACCTTGTTGTTTCTTCGGATTTATTTGCTGTGTCGCCATGATTATCGACTCACCTGACAGGTTGAAGAGCTGGGGCTGAGGATTGTTGGGTTTGTGAAATTGACAAGCCGACAAAGCCAACCCTATTGAAAACAACCATAAATAACCCATAATTATCAATGAAGAGCCATTTCGGACGCATTAGACTCAGCGAAGTAACTATATGATATATCTTTTTGCATATCCAAATGCTAGATCACATTTCATCATGCTAGAAGGGTATCTATCAATAAATCTAAATTATATGACTATTCCATCGGAACAACGCGAGTGTCGGACATCCAAACTCGTCTGTACGTATATACAATTTACAGATTCCACTTTCAATGATACCAAAACGACTCTCAAAAGCTATTGGCAACTGGTAGGTAGAAAGAATAATATGTAAGACCATGAGGAGACTGCCAGTGCGGCAGCTGATTTTTGATCTGCGATGGATAATTTCCAAAAGTCAGACATGGCAAATGGAGACAAGGATGAGGTCAGAAAATCTGGACATGGGTCAGACTCCTGAAAATAGGAATTAGCAAGAAGAGTAGTATTGCTGAGTAACAAGCGCGCTGCGTACCATTAAGAGACTAAAATAAGTCTTCCACGTATTAGATGTGGTGTCCGTGCCTTATTTCGTTAACATAAATCCATTCACCACGATAGCTTGCTTTCACCCTGCCTCTACACCATGCTGGCAATATCCAGGATCCTCGAACAGATATCAAAACTTAACGATAATCCATTCAATATAGCTTATTTTTCTGGCCAAGAACCATTTGGTCAAGACAGCAATTGTTGCAGGTATTCCAAAGTCCTCAAATGGGGATCCATGCGGTATCCTGGAAGTAGTCTGTCATGGCCGGTTCATGCAAATATAGCTCACGCCATTCATCTTCCATGTCAGTTAGATTTTCGGGTATAAAAGGTCCACAAGGCTCGGAGTCGACGATAGAAAACAATTGTCTCCAGTCTCCATGCTCGCCAACCTGGTCAGTCTGTGGGGGACCTTCAGCTGCGGGAGCGGGAGACTGTTTGGCGAAATAGTTGAGTCGCTCATTCAGCTGCGGTTTCTGATACCAAGGCTGCATTGGCCCCTGAGGAGTAGTAACATCGATTTGTGGTGTGGAGTTGTTGGTGGGCTCTTTCACAACAAGTTCTCCGTCTTTTGGTAAACTATTTGGTTGTTTCATTTTCACCATCTCCATATCATGCTTCAAACGCTTGGAGCTCTCAAACAGACGTAAAATAGTTTCGGCGCCAAGCCAATAATCAGAAAGCGCGCGCAAGGAGCACAAAGTGGAATCGAATCGTCGAAGGGCATTTATCGCCAATACGGGGTTGGAGAACCGGAGTTCTACCCTAATCTGAATCATCGCCGTGAATAGAGAGTTCACCGCCGAAACCCAGAGGTATTTTATACGACCCTTCTCCCGCAGTTCTTCGAATATTGAAACGATGACACCGGCAGCTGCACTGCAGATTTCTGCATCATTAGGCCCATAATCGTCAGAATATGCCGATGCTCGGGGATGAGGGCGGTGAAGAAGGATAAGAAAATTATTGTAAGTAAGATGGAGCAATGCGGGCCATGAATCCACATCAGTGGTGGACATGCGGACGTTGTCAGGCAATTTGAGGGACCAATTCGCAAGTGCTTTGTCGGCATCCAGAAGCGCGGCTTTTCGCCGTTCTGGACTGACTCGCAGGCCAAACCTCTCTCTCATAATGAACGAAATCATACAACAAAGCTCTGTATATTGTATCACGTAGTCTACCTGCACGCGATCACCGCAGCCCTCAAAATCGGATGGAGTCAGAGGCTGGACATCACAATCTTCAAGATTTCTATTGCATCAGGTCAGCAGACTTGTGGGCTTCCAACTTATATCATTTGGCTTCTTACATGGCTTGAGGTCGGCCGTACTGCAAGGATACCAGTACGTCAAACTGGACTAGAATCCACCAAGCCCGGCGCCACATCCGCTTATCATGTGGAACGAGCATACTAGGGCCTGCATTACGGTGCATTCCCAGCCCCGTGGCTATCCTTGCAGCCACTCCAACCCAGAAATGAGCATTTGCAGCGACATCATCGTCCACTGGGTCCGAGTGCCAGGTGAGAAGAAGAGCAGCCTGCACCAGAATGTCCCTGTTTCGTTCCACCCTAGCTTCAAATAGAATTTTGGCACGACGGAAGAAAGAGGATTTCAAGGCATCGCGTGCCGGTCGTGGACGAAGAACATGGGCACCGGCAAGAAGAATAGTTTGGAGAATTAGCAAGGAAGGTGGATCTGCCGGGTCTCGACGTCTGTATTGGGCCATAAACGCTTCTTCGTCGATAATAGGACAACCGGGGTTGACGTGGGCGAAATACGCCGCCACGAGCTCATCTGCAAGCGCTTGCTCCGGCAGCACAAATGCCTCTCTTGGGACATGTTCAAACCCTTGGATATACCTTCTTGAGATTTCGTTTTGTGCGAAGTGGTACACTCCGTCATCTTCGTCTGTATGCTGCTGGCGCAATAGGAAGTTCAAGTTCGACACGTCTTGCCCAACGTATATAACCCTGACCCCCTTTTTTATCGAGCGTTGGCGCAGATCCTCATCAATCAATTTAACCAAATGGCGGTCTGATTCGCGATTATCCTCCTCATCAAGAGAGGCATCGGCGCCTTCGGTCCTTGCATCTGCACGTAACGCTTCTGAAGGGTCCGGTCTGTCCTTCTGGCTACTTATATACGGCGGCGATGTGCTATTGGCCTTAAACGGCGGGGTGGGCAATGGAGGGTGGGCTTGGGTGGCATTTCTGTCCGCGAGTGGTGCACAGCGGATGGGAACCGGATGCTGAAGAGATCGAACAGCAGCCCGCTTCTTCTTCTCATGGATTCGGCAGTCATGTTTCCCGGCAGTTCGGCAATTGGAGCAAGGCAATCCGACAGTTCTGGCATCGCAGCGAACTTTGCGCTGATGACAATGAACACACGCAGCGGGGCCTAGAGCAAAAGAATCAAGACGGTAATTAATATTTTGGGAAAATAGGGGGTGTCAGACGGAGGTCTTGATGAAAGAAGCATAACGTGCCGGAGGGGGGTGGGGGGGTTTGCGCCAGAAAGTGACCTACGCTTCCGTTTTACTACACCACCGTCAGCAGAAACCCGGGGGTTCTGCTCTGGCGATGACATAATTGTCCTCAATGGTCCGGCTACGTATTCACGTCTGCAGATCCAATAAAAACACAAGAGACATCAGCCATCAGGATGCCAGCGTAAGTTGCAATGGATTAGAATTGGCTGACTGGTTGAGAAAGCGGAGGAGAAGGAAGAAACAATGAGCCACGAGATCCCAGATAAGAGTCCATTTATCAGATGCCCTAAACCACTTTTGGTTTAGTATGAGGAGGTTAGAGGGCTTGGCGCAGGAGTCTGAGCTGCCGGCTGGATGTGCGGATCGTCGCACACAACCTTTGCACATGGCTCCCGGCCGGGTTGGAAGGGTGAAGAGCCCTTGACCCCAGATTGCGCGAGCCGGTGAGCAGCCCATACAACGCTAGGCCATGCACCCTATTTGTGTCTGGGGATCGGTCTTACGGGCGCCAAATCTTCAGAAGAACCCAACCCCAGACACCCTGAGACGCGAAACTAAATTCTTAGTCCCTCCTTGCTAAACTTAAGCCTTCATGTGGAGTTGAGCACGCTGCAAGTGCGCCAGTCTGACGAGGAATGACTGTTGGCTTCGTCCAACCAGGGTTCTCCGTCCTCGACGTGGCATCCACCAGGGTCCCAATTCCGTACGAACTCCGCACCTGAATTCCGCCCTCCAACAGCTGCCCTCACGCGTAGAATCATGGCTGATTGGTTGTTTGTAATCATCCAACTCCCAAACAAAGCACTCTCTAGAGGCGGGGTGGGCAGTTGGAACAAATCTAGAATAACAAAAGTCGGTCACCTGACTTGGACAATGTCGAAAGTATAAAGTATATTTGCAATTTTGAAGACCTTTGAAATTTCGCATTGCAGTTTCATACAGAAGTAGTCTCATCTGATAACTCGGTTTCTGATCCACAAAACCCGGTTCTCCGCATTTTGCTGCATGGGAGGTGCATGGGAGAGCCGAATGCGCATCGTATTCGTTGAGAGCATGTCATAGTTCACCAATTATTGTAGGCCACCCCGTAATGTGAACGCAAATGTCAGCGACCGAGGATTGCCGTTCGTAGCCATTCAGGGCGTGCGTCTAATGCCAATCCTGCATAGCTTGTCCTGCTGATTCGAGACCCGGGACTCTTTTCCCAACGAAGAAAATGCCATGGGAATCTCGTGGCAGCAACAAGATGTCGAAAACGAGTGGTCCTCGTTGCTTGCCATGGCCGCTTCGAACCAACCAGATTTGGGATTCACCCGTCCTTCGGCCTTTTCCAAGGATCCCTGACCGAAATGTCGGGGCAATCCACCAAATATTCGGGGAATAAATCCGCCGTTAGGAAGGACAAAAGCTTTGAGTTTCCGGAGGGCGGACGGCTGATTTTATATCTTCCGTTCATGATTCCCATTCAAGGCCTGTCGAGGGAGGCGGAGTTCTGGAAGTCAGCTCTGTGGACAAGCCCGAGAGCTGAACTCCGGCACCCGAAGCCGTGGGCGAGATTGGTTGGTTTCCTCCGCGGTCGGCGGCTTAACTAAGCCTATCACCCGCCAACGTGCAGCCCAGAATGAGGAGCAGCGAGCCGATCCACTCGTACTCGAATTTTTGGTGCGGCGAGCGAGCTTGCACCACCTGATCATAGGGCGGATTGTCGCATAAATGCCGGCTTGAGGCGCCAGCCCGGGAAAGATTTATATACAACTCGCCTTCCTTCCCTAAGACCTCTCTCTTCCACCCCTTCCAACCCAAGTTGTCCGGAGCATCCGCCGTGCAAATTTCTTTCTTGCGCGCTTTCTTCCATTCCCAGCATAGCCACTCGCCAATCGCCGAATAACATCATGTCTCCCCACGCCGCGCAAGATGCTGCCGCCCAGGGCGCCGTCGATATAACCAAGGAAATGCCAGAGCCCTTGACTGTGGCCAATGTGCCGGCGCGAAGAGCGAAGACGACTATGCCCACTGGTGTTGCTGCGTCTTGCCATAGCGACATGTTCAAGAGTCTGGTATTTGCTTTCTCAACCCTCTCTGTGTTTTGCATCTGACTATGGGAGTTCCCGATGCGACGAGATGAATACTAACTCTTACCTCGGTCTTTAGGCTTGTGCTACTAAACCCAAGGCTAAACGGTGGGATAGTATGTGTGCCAACATCTCCAGAATTGAATGCACAATTAACCTCTTGGGTTGCAGAGTATCTCTCTATTGAAAGCAAGTCACGGAAGGTATTAACAGCAGCATATTGGTGTGATGCGCACCCGGCGTGCTAACTTCGACTATAGGCGTCCACCCTAAAGCAAGCTGCGGAATACCTGAAAAATCCTGGTACGTCCAACCACACTCTCACTCGCTTTCTTATCCTGCGACCCGTTCTGACAAACATTTATGGAATAGGTTTGATCTCCCTTGGAGGAGGCCTTCCGTCCCCTGAATATTTCCCCATCGACGAAATCTCCATCAAGGTTCCAGTTGCGCCCAACTTTTCGGAGGAAGCTACACATGAATCAGGCCAAGTGGTTACTGCAGGAAAATATGACATTCGGGAGGGGAGGAGTGAATATGGTTCGTTTTAGATATGAACGGGAAGCAGTGATACGGGTAGCTGACAATTTCCCACAGACTTGGAGATCGCTTTGAACTACGGTCAATCAGTAGGAGCCGCCCAACTGTTGCGCTTTGTGACGGAGCATACCGAGGTTGGTAAACTCACTTGCCTAATGCAACCGGGTGTCTAATATTATAACAGATAGTGCATAACCCTCCGTATTCAGATTGGCATTGCTCACTCACCGCTGCTAGCACGGCTTCGTGGGACATGGTGCTACGTCTGTTCTGCAACCGTGGAGATTATATCCTAACGGAAGAGTTCACGTTCTCCAGCGCCATGGAAACAGCATTGCCACAGGGCATTCGCCTCGCTCCAGTTAAGATGGATGAGCAGGGACTTTTGCCTTCGTCCCTTGACGAAGTGTTGACCAACTGGGATGCTTCGGCGCGAGGAGCTCGGAAACCATTCGTGCTCTATACTGTTCCATCCGGACAAAACCCCACTGGCGCTACTCAAGACGTTGAGCGAAGAAAGGAGGTGTACAAGGTCGCGCAGAAACACGACATTATCATCGTCGAGGACGAGCCTTACTACTTCCTCCAAATGCAGCCCTACAAAGGAGCCAATGCGCCACAAGACCCTCCGCCAGCCAACTATAACGAATTTTTGAAGGCTCTCATTCCCTCTTTCCTCAGCATGGATGTGGATGGACGTGTTGTCCGCCTCGAGTCCTTCTCAAAAGTGCTTTCGCCCGGTTCTCGCGTTGGCTGGCTCGTTGCATCCGAGCAGATTGTGGAACGATTCCTACGAAATGCAGAGACCTGCACGCAGAACCCAAGCGGGATGTCTCAAATCATCCTTTTCAAGCTGCTTGACGAGGCTTGGGGACATGAGAAATATTTGCAATGGCTAGTTCATATCCGCATGGCATACACTAATAGGAGAAATGTCATGCTAGAGGCTTGCGAAAAATATCTACCAACAAGCGTTGCAAGCTGGCACCCTCCAGCGGCAGGCATGTTTGTAAGTGGCCTAGTATCGGCCCTCACCTATTGTTATATTAAACTAAACGGTTCATTAGCATTGGATCAAAGTCGACTGGAAGAAGCATCCACTCGCTCTCGCAGGAGACTCCTATGATTCTATTGAAGAAGCGATCTTCAAAGCGGCGGTGGGCGAGGGCGTTTTAGTCTCACGTGGCAGTTGGTTCTTTGCAGATAAGTCTACTGAGCCCACAGATATGTTTTTCAGAGCCACATTCGCGGCTGCACCCGCGGATAAGATCCAGCAGGCTATTAAACGTTTTGGAGATACCCTGAGGGCTCAATTCCAACTTCAATGATCAATATATCCTCTACCATATATGTGGTGAGGCGCCTTTTTAAAGTCCTACAAGTCCATGTCGGTCCGTCTGTATATACCTTCTGGTTTGAGTAAATTGCACCTAAAGAGTTGGATAGACATGCCTATGTTAGCTGATTATTTAATGCCAAAGCAAGATTTACCTGCTGTGAATTTAGCGGATATTCCAAGCGATAAGGGAATCGCACTAAGCAGATCACTGATTTTTCGGCTGCGTTGAGAAATAGCCCGCCGCCGAGACCCCGAGTGGCTGAAAGCTCCCATGGCACGTATACAATGGATACAACGGCGACCTAGGCTTGGTTCCGCCGGCCCAACTATTGTATCACCAAAGTCAGAGCATTCCCCCTCTCCCCTCCTTTTTTTCCTTTTTCTTTTCTTTTCTTTTCTTTTTTTTTTTAAAAAACACAATGGCTGGATTTCAAGACATTAGGCTGAGAGTTGACCCTACTTGATGTCCGAGGCGATGAGCTGTGCAAATTTTATGTGCATTTCCTGGCAGAGAGATCTGAATACCTCGAACCACCAAGAGAAATATAATAAGCTCCGTCATAGATCAAATAAAGGCTTTCTAGCTAGCCCATCGTTTTATATTATCAGCAAAGTGTCCTCCAATGTTTGACACAAGGCTGATCATATATAGGTGCAGGTCGGCATCTAAGAACGAGTGTGTTGCCAGCATAGGAAAGAGTGAGCACCTCCAACAAGAGTGCGACACTATTTGGGTTTGAAATACCTGAAACAATTATCTCCTATCTGAAGGCCAGGTTCTTATGAGGAGATCATAGTGCATTTTGTAGTGGAATTGATGCCTCCAGCTTCTCTGAAAAGGATATGTATGATTAAACAATTTTTACTTCAACCCCCCAAAACAAAGAAAGGGAACGTGACATGGCTAAACTTATGCACAACAACAGGGAATAAACTTTGAGTGATCTGCAGCGGCTAAAAGCCAAGACCAAATAAGCTCTTTCCTTGGCTTACTCGTGTATGGCTGGTGTTTGTGGCACAAAGAGGCATGCATTGGTAAAATAAATCTCTGAGCTTGATGCTCATCAAGACTGCTTCTCCTAGGTAGGGCCATCTATGAAGGTCATCAGTATTAAGGCCTGTAGAAGTATAATCTTGCGGTGTGCAAGTTTTGGGGAAAAAAGGAACTCAAAATGGTTTGTGTGAACGATGATCAGTGCCAGGCAGCGAAACACCATATTCCCTTGAAACCATGCCTTGGAATATTAGTCCCCAATCCACCAGATACGAAATTGTCTACGATCGCATTATTAAATTATCCCCTAAATGTAGTTCTCCTAGAAATTCAGGTAAAAGCTGTAAATTCGGAGCCCAAGATCACTCGTATCATGACTTGAAACGGGGACATTTGGGGCAATGATGTAATAATAGCCGGCAGGATAGGCTGAAATTTTGGAATGTTCCTCGGCTGAAGGCCATAACTAGGCCATAATGCTATACATCCAGGCACTTTATATATTTCAATGGCGACCTATTGAGGCAGCCCCACAAGTGACCTCTGTGGGAAAAGCAGGATGTAGAATTTCCCACGAGACAGAGCACAACTCCCGAAATTATAAAACGCACGAAGTTGTAGCAACTGATGTTAGCATCTAAATTTATCGAGTGCGAGGTCGATGAAGGTTTTCTACGATCTCGTTGTGCCAATACCGCCTGCTCATTTCCATAAGGAAGCCAAAGTAGTGTTGCTTAACATGACCTACCCATTCCCGATTGCAGCCAACCAGCCATTCTTCGTGGCCTTCATCACGTGATAATAGCAAACGGCCCGGCTTCTAGAAAATCAGGTGTCATCCGTACAGATGTCGCATGATATTTTGGCCTCTATTCTGTATTCTGATAGAGGACCCTTTCATTGTATTGAAATCGTTTAAAATATGTACAAAATAGATTGCTCATTAATCCGCGCCTTTCTCTGTATGCCCGGTTAGGGCTGGTTTTGAGGTTGTCGGCGAATTAAGTTTTTCCGAGCAGCACCCGAGTTTCGGGTTTCCAAGAAAGGAAATTCGGACCACCGTCCATAGATATATTTTTAAGATGTGTTGGGTAAACGGTTTATATCTGATGAGTCTTTTCGATATACCATGGAGTGGGCGTCTCGAGGTTGGCCAATAGACCAAATTAGCCCTCATTATCTGATTTTATAATTATTTGGACTTCGTTTTCCCTCTAACGGAGGGGAAATTTGATTCTATCTAAGAGGTAAGGATGTGCTTTCTGCATCATTTGATACCGCGGCCAGATACTAGCTGGGGTTTGATGGATGAAACATTGATGTTGCCTAACAATATCAACTATCCGTAATTTCCATTCACCTCTGACATACTGCAACTCGATATTACTTCCGAGGTCTGCTATGCAAATACCAACCGGCTGTCACTTTGTCTTATTGTGCCTCCCGCTAGCACACGTGGTGCATGGCCATTGCTAGAAATTGGCAGGATTTTTCTGCTGTTTGTGATTGCAACATATCAAGTCCCTTTTCGAATAATATTACCTTTGAAAGGTGCCCTAGGACGTGGAGTATCGTCCTCGGAGGTTTTATCTGCCGCTCACCAGACATATGCATGCCCAGCGATTGAACGCCCCGCTTCATATTTTATATGATGTCTTTGCTAATATCTAATTCATAGGAAATCGATGCTGAGAGTACCGAGCGGCAAAGTCAACCGTGGCGCTGTCCAAGCTAACGGCTCGTACAGGGGGGCCTGACTCCCTCTGTGGATCGCATATATTTGGCAGGTCTTCTTCGCTGTCAACAAGCTGCTGAAGTCTGCTAGTCCTGGTGCTCACGTGCTGAACATTTGCTCACATTCCTGGTAGTCCCTTCATTGTTTACCTGAGCCGCGAACCCCCTTTAATATTCACGCTAAGGGCCACACCATTCCGAATTTGTGTGGCACGTGGTTTCTGAGGGATCTCTCCGCAAGGAGAACTCACAACAGCCATATCGCGAGATTATAGAACTGTTTTAAAGCACTTTCGAAACCTTCTGATCCTGAGCGCCGCCAGCCCGCCTTTCTGTCAAAAAGGGGATTACCATATGGAGCTCTTTTCATAGATTCAGGTGGTATGCAATTCCCGTCCTGAAAAGTTCCAATTCTTCTTTCATCTGGACAGCATCGAAGCTCGAGAAAACAGAATCATTCATATCAAGATACTCCCTTCTCTCCATACCCATCGCTCTCCGTCGAATCATCTCCATTTGAGTTTCTTGAGGTGACACGTAAGTGGACAGCTCTCCTCGCTACTTTGGTTTTCCCACAATGTCTCTTTCTTCTCTATCCCTTCATTTCTTTTGATTCGGCTTCCTTTTTCCTTTTCCCATTTTGCTTATATCGACGCATCGCTGGCATAGCTCAACAAGCTACTTGCAATAACCTACCTTTTTTTCCTTGTTCCTCGGGGACTTTTGACTTGTTGCCATAATTGCTTCAACCCCTTCCTCAAGTCGCTTCCTCTCTTCCCCCAAAGGCTCCCGCATCCCCTGCACTTATTATTAATTGCAATGGAGCATCCAGGAATCTTTCGGCGCAATGCCATTTCTCGGTTTGCTTTATTCATCGCACTGTTCATGAACTGTAACCTAACATTTGACTTCCTTAGAGCCCGAGCCCGTCCGGCCTCGACAAGTGAATCCATTCAACAACGTAGGTATACCCTATAGCGCTTAGTGTATCTTTTGCTTTTATTTTTATTTTTCTTTTTATTTTTTTTAACGTGTTGTTGAACTAGGCATTGGCGAAGGTCTTCCTTCTCACCCCGAGTATCCGTATGAGGAGTACAATCCTTTCTCTTCGGAGTCAGATATCAAGGATTGTTCTGTTGAGGAAAAAGGTTTCCGCCATTTTCACAGTGCAGCTCAACCAGGTAAGCACATTGATGTAGATTGAACTATCAAGTTAAATTGTTTGTTATGTTAAAAAGTCATTTTCCTGGCTGACACTTATAATTAATTAGGAGTCTCATTTTCTGTTGATGTGGATAGGATCCCTTTAAGGTATTATTACCAAAACCTGAATTGTTATACTATTTGCTGATCAGTTTTGCACACCCAGAAGACAAGGGAGTGACAAACCACATATAAGCCTTCCTCAGGCATATCAAAGTTCGAAACATCAAAGCAGTGTCGGAACACATGATCTTTGTGTTCCAGCTGCAGCAGACTATACACGAGAAACTGTTAAGCTAGCAGAGCGGTGTGCCCAAGAAGCTCTCGCTGCATTCCACGAAGGGCAGGGCCACGCAGAGCCGAGTCGATCTCAATTTTTACAAGGCACTGGAGCCCAATTTGATGGCGACGATAGCCTCCCCTCCCAGCAACTAGGTCAGAGCCGTAACCAGTATACACCTTCATTATACTCTGAATCTGAGCTTATTGGTACCGATTGCCTTGCAAATCCAGCCGGGCAGCGAGTTGGCCCCTATCGAAGCGCGTGCGAGTGCTGCCGTATACCCCGTCTTCACGAACAGGATTCGGATTTAGACTTTATCCGACAGCCTCCACGACCCCTTCATTCTCCTGTGATAAGTTTACAGCCACCTAATCTTCAGGTTGAAAAACTTCGCTCTCGGAAAACTAGTCCCCCGAGGGTTGGCCCACCAAGCCGACAGCTCACAAAATTCCCTCATCCACACCAGTTCGACACTTCCAGTAATCGGGCGCAATTTGACCCGCTCAATTTCTTCCCTTCTGCTGCTAATTCTCACGGTAAACTCGAACTTCCAGGTCGAGCTCCTGGGCTACGCCGGGTTACTGAGCCTGCTGGTAAGCCTAAAGACGACATTCCACAGATTGTTGTCGAGCCTTCAGGTTCCCACCGACGGAGCGTTACTCAGCCCTGTATTGCTCTCGATAACGCAGTCGTTTTCAACGGACGCGAAGGTAGCCTTGTTCTTCCAGCGGAAGTCGACGCGCCAGCCTCCCACCCTCAGCACGTACCGACATCCTCTGTAACTTCGAAACATCGAAAGAGGAGCATCCACCGGCTGGCGGAGTCATTCAAGAAGCTCTTTCTGCCTCGAAGTACACCTGAGACTCCCGATATTCGTGCAAAGCATTTGAATTCAAAGTCAGGTTCAGATAGGCAAAAACCCAGCCTTCCAAACAGGTTCTTTAGACGTAATTCCCAGCATCAACAACAGCTGCTAGGAAACGCGCGTATACCAAGAACAGAACAACCACCTCTTCCAAAAATGGATCGTTCAAGGTTTCTGGATCCATCGTTGGCCATGATGGCACTGACAAAACAGAAATCAGAAGCGATGCGACTTGCTCGAGAACAGGGTGCAGCCGTCACTGAGATGTGCCGACGCGCAAAAACTGAAGTTCCTCCATATACGTTCGAAGAGCTGATTGGAAAAGGGTCATATGGTAGAGTGTATAAAGGGTATATCCCCTTGTGATAGTTTGTTATATTATTAGTTCTTTTCTATACTGACACAATTCATAGGCGTCAGCTGTCATCCCAGAAGTTGGTTGCAATAAAGGTAATGGATATAGACACACTCGATTATAAGGCCATGAGGGATTTGAAAGATGAGTCCATTAAGGACTTTATTCACGAAACCAAAGTCTTGCAGCAAGTCAAAGATGCGGGAGCAAAGAATATCAACATGCTCATTGAGGCCGTCTCCATCCACTCACAATTATGGCTTATTTGCGAGTATTGTCCAGGTGGCAGTGTTAAGACTCTGGTAAGATTCCCACTGTAATTTTCGCTTTAGCTAGGTGACTGGAGAGCGGGCATTTTTATGATACCAGTTTTAGACGTGGTATCGTGAGATTCATGTCTCCCAGGCTGCTTTGATCCCTTTGGATCGTGACATTCCGCCCACCTTTTCTGGGGTTACTGGAACTGACGAGTTTGATTGTCGTAGATGAGAGCAACTGGGGATAAGCTCGATGAGAAGTTTATTATACCTATTGCAAGGGAGCTAGCTGAGGGCTTAAAAGCCATTCATGATGCCGGGATTATTCACCGTGATGTGAAAGGTAAGTTTCTTTTGGTTTCCCAGGGCGATGAAAGAATCACTACAAAGAGATGCGATGACAAATTGTTGAGACGATACTTTGTGTGAAGAGTGCGACGAAAGGTTTAATGAAGTACTCAGAGGCCATGAGGATGTAGCAAAACTTCCTTTTCTGCACAGCTCCTTCAAACCTATGTGGCCAACTCTGTGACTGGATTATGCAGTTCCTAATGGCGGTCGCATGATCATCTGTGAATGAAAGGGGCTAACTAAGCTTGTTTTCACAGCTGCGAATGTTCTTATCCATGAAGAAGGAAGACTCGAGATCTGTGACTTTGGGGTAGCCGGAGTGCTCCAAACCAAGCTTGATAAACGATCGACATGGATTGGCACCCCTCACTGGATGCCGCCAGAAATGTTTCCAAATAGAGCTGTGGAGCCCCACCAGTATGGAAGCGAAGTGAGTGTTTATTATTATTGAAATTTACTCAGTGTGTGAATGAACGAAGCTGAACATCTTGTAGGTTGATGTCTGGGCGTACGGATGCACACTGTTTGAATGTGCAACAGGAAATCCCCCCAACGCGACTTTACGTGAGCGAATGCAAATTGGTCGCCAGCTGAATCGGTTCGCTCCAAAGCTTGAGGGCGACACCTATTCTGAGAACTTGCGATCACTTGTATCGTACTCACTTACCTCTGATCCCAAGACACGCCCCTCAATGAAAGACATTTTAGAACATGAATATATTGTGGGGTCAAGCGATACACATCCGACAGCTATTCTCAGCGAGTTGGTCCGAATATATTACCAGTGGTCGCAACGAGGCGGACAGCGGATCTCTCTATTTAATCCCGGTGGTGCGTTAGCTGCCGAAATGCCGGATCCCGCTAGCACGCTAGAAAATGAAGACTGGAATTTTAGCACCACTGCCGGCTTCGAGAAGCGTCACTCAATACTAGACTTGGATGAACTATCCGCTTCGTTAGCTGCTCTGGATGAGGCTCTTACTCCTACAGCCGCTCCGCGTGCTTTTGGTCAGCCCTCTGAAATGACTCCAGACGAGAAGGCCAATTTTGACGAACGCGTCAAACGAGGAGCCGCAGCGATGGAAGGCCTATTTAACGAGTCAAAGCCAGACTACAAGTATGAAACCAAGAATGATTTTGTACCAGTGCAGAAGCAGCGGCGTTCCTCGGATTTGCCTCTTCGAACCGATACTGATAGATCATCGGTCACATCAACTTTCATCGACATTAACCTTGGGGACTATGAATCTGCACATTATGCAGCTGGCTCCGCTTCGAACAATCCTCCGTTTCAACTAGCAGACCCCGATACCATTCGAGCAAATCGCTCTAGCGCTCGTCTTTTCCGCAATTCATCAAGTTCCAGCAGTGCATCTCAAGAATTCCAACCTCGTGGTCCGCGTCCACCTACAATGGAATGGACCTTTGAATCGGCGACACGTATAACTGATGAACCCGAGACTATGACCCAAGGAAATCTTGATGATCGCTCTGCATCTGAAGATGGAACATTCAAATCAGATAAGCGCGAAACCATGACCTGGACCTTTCCAATTATGAATGCAGATGAAGGTGCCCCTGGTGACGATCCCGTGGTGGAGGACGGGCCTATTGGGGGTGAAGCTGAAGAGCACATTGACCCCGACACCATTTACCCTTGGAGAGCCGATCTAGAAGGCACGATTAGGGGTCCAAATCAGCCCTTCCCTACCCTTCAGCCACCACCCCTCGGGAGGAGACGTTCTAGCCGGGCTGAATCTCCCGGTGGTTCACGTCCTTCAACCGCTTTATCTGCGCAGTCTGACATGGATCGAGACCCATTTAGGTTTGACGGAGCATCGAGCCCATCTAACCCTGGCACCCCTCATGAAGAGCGCCATACGCCCACTGACCGATTTCCAACCATGCCGCCTTCCAGCTTGTACGAGGACTATGAATCCTCAACGCTCGTAGGGTCGTTTAACGACTATCCAGGCACCAGCTGGAGTCGCGAGACCACGTTGAGGAACGGAACCTCTACGGAGCAAAGACGCCGATCGGTGGTCTCATCTCTGTACTCTACGGATGCCAGACTGGGTGAACCCGTCCTGGAAGCAGATAGGCCATCGTCTCTCTATTTCCCAGAGCCCATGCCTCCTAGTTCCGAATCTCTTACTGAGGGGGGTAGCGAAGACACGGTTTCTGCCGAACTAGACCGTCTGCTCGGGGACCTTATCCAAGGACTGGCTTCCACGAGAGAGGCCTTTGCTGCAGCTGACAATTTAGGAACAGCAAGGGGGGGTTGAGCCGGAGGGGGGCGAAGGCCTCTTAACTCTCTTCATTTACCCTTTTCTCTAGAGCATTTTCTTTTCTTCTTTTTTTTTCCCCCCTTAAAAAGCCGGAGTTTTATGTGGGAACTTTAGGGCTTGCCATGAAGGTTTTAGATACTCATTTTGCGCGTGGAAATTTTGCTGTTAATGGAATGATTAATGACTACTTTCAACCCATTTTCTCCGGCATCCGGAAACCTACAATCCCTGAGATGCGATTTCATTTCATACCCTTAGTAGCCAACGTAGTTATGGAAGAACGGATAGGAAATGTGGCCGTCGGCCTTCGGGGTGTTGCTGGCTGCAACCAGCCTTTAGTCAGCCATTGGCTTCGATGTCAACACACCAATCTCGGCGTCAACCATCGCATCCCTTTAGCAAAACACGCACTTTTTTGACCAAAGACGAGATTGCTAATATATAGACGACCTTTCTTCAAAATTCAGATTAGGTTGAAATGTGGGATGGCGATTCTGGGTCCTTGGAATGAGATCCAACGCTCTTCATCCGAAGTTGACCAGGACCAACCGCAATCGGCTCTGAAAGGGATATATGTTACTCTTCCATATCTGGTGCGCCCAGGTATTTTGCTAGTATGGGAATAATGTCTTTTTGGGTAGGAAAATTATGCTGGCAAGCAAATCATGATATAACCGATATTGAAGCATTGGCCACCCTAAAAGCTGCCTGTGGGAAGCCGGATTCAATGGAAGCTTCGTGACAAGATTTTTGCAGTGAATATGCAAAATGATGCTTATCCTTTATATCCTTCACTTATTTCTTAGCAAAGGCCTTGTGATATGGGCTCTCGGCAGTTATCACACAGGCAACATGGCTAATTCCATTGGACCACATTTCCTGACACTTATTTCACTTGTTTTCATCTCCCTCATCTATTTCAGGCCTTTAAAACTGGAAACGATGTTTCTGAGCGCATTATGTTGTTATGAAGGTTTTCATAATTAAAAGGCTCTGGACTGCCTAGCTCCCTGAGAACTATGTCATTATCTCCCTATAGGCCAACCAGCACTGCCTGGTGCATCTCCAAGCCATCAGAGCAATGGAGGCTCGCGCTGCAAGAAATTAAAATACTTCTTCTAAAGCGCCAATACAAGCAGTGTGCTGCACTTTCTCATGACCTGATGGGAAGTCTCGATGAGAACGTATGTAAAAGCCGTAAAACTCCCTCTTCAACCAAGACCGGGCCTGGAACACGAATACTGACTTGCTGACTTGATAACAGCTGCACACTATTCATAGAGCATATCTTCAATACTATGGTGCGGCTTCATATGAAACTTTGGGTCGAGCAGCTCACAATTATTCAAGCAATAAGCTTCTACTCTTGAATTTGGCCAAAGAGGGCTATGTCGCGTGCAAGCTTTCCCTTCAAAATGTGACGAAGGAATTAAAAAAGTCAGATTCAAATTCTGGAAATACCAACAACGCGAATATATATGGAAATTCTGGTCATGAACACAATATCGATGAGGATGAGGACAGAGAAAATGAAGACGATCTCGAGTCAGTCTCTGGATCTTTGAGTGACGCGACTTTAAAGCGCGTCTATGCTGTTTGCTATTTGACGGAACCATGGAGAACTTATGCCAGGTACAAATGTCAAGCTTCTGGAGAAGATATGGGTGAATTTACTACGAAAACTGCAGAAAATGCGTTTACCTTTGATCTGGAGCCACCAGGGAATGATGATATTGAGGCAATTGAAGCAGATGTCGAGTCCGTGTCTGAACTTATGCCGCCACCTCTGCGTGTCCAAAAGACTAGAAGCAAAAGGCCAGGTCTGAGCAATATACCGATCCCTGACAGATCCTTGATTCCGCTACCACTTTTCTCACCTTCTCCATTGTCACCACGCAGGACAGCCGATTCGCAAATCCCCAACCGGACGCCCAAGCCAGCCCCACTAAATGCAATTTCTGCGGATGCAGTTTCTCCGGATGCTAGGTTGAAAAGTCGAACCCCCGTCCCAATTGATTCTATCGATCTCACACCAAATGAGCTTCCGCGTCACCCGCTCCAATTGCACCAGAAACCAAAACTCCAAGCATCAGGACGCATGCTCAACATCTTGACTTCCCTCCCCACCCAGCTCAATACCAACATTTCCAACATCAGCGGTCTCATTTCTGAAGTCACCCAACTCCAATGTATCCACAAAGCCACTAAAAGTAACCGTCTCGCATCATACTGGAGTTTCACGCCTTTTCGTGAGCAAAGTAATGGCGGTGTCCCAACAAATAACCCATTGAGCCGCACCAGTAGTGGGAATCGTAATGTTTCGAACGGGAGTGAAACTAAGCAGGAACGAATCGTTCGCTTGCGATCGGAAGGGTGGAACACGGTGGGCATTAGGGATCCTAAGAGGGGCTGGAAAGGGTCAGAATATTATGAAAGGATTTGCGAAGAGGCATTGGGGGAGTTGTACGGTTGCTAGAATGGTGGTTCGAAAGTAGGGAGAAGAAGATTCGCTGCAGAAATATCGATAATGACATGTATGTTTAGATGATTTTTAGATGGAAATGGGAACGAATGTATGAACCAAATTATTCTCAAAGACACGCTGTAAGTAATCGGACTGTCACATTGCAATCGTTGTCACCCGGACTGATCCCTGGCATATATACAGGCGCATAGATTATAAAGGGGAGACAGATTTCGCATAACACTCTTTGAACTCCTATGTATACCTAGAGAAATAAGCACACCCGAGTTTTCCGCGAAGCATGACTTAGACCAGATTTCGACAGAGATCACATTTTTATTCTAATTTCCACTAGAACACAACAAACATCAACAAGGACATGTGAGGCAACAAGGGTATCAAGTCATATTGCTTTTGGAAAATGAGTGCCCTATTTGTGTTTCTCCTTTTCTGCCCTTTCTAGTGCCTCTTTCTCCACTTTCTCCTTTTGCTCTTGTTGCCTCATCTCGCGGACTTTGGCGAGCACCACTTCACGGAAAATAGCACTCTTTGCAGCTCTGCTAAGGCTTCGCTTCTTGTTGGTGGGCGCAGTCACCGGAGAGGTCTGGTCTCCTGGTCCGCTGTTGGAAGAGGGGGTCGTATTGTCTGGGATAGCGCTAGGAATATCGTCATCGTCTTCTCCCTGCATTTTGAGGGCTTCGATACGGTTGGCCAACTTCACGATCTCGATACCCCGCTTGAGACGAGCCTTGGCCATGTATGCCTTGAGTTCTGGCAACAAGTTGTGGTCAGTAGCGGTCTCTCCCTTCAGCCATCGGTGCTGAAGTGCTTCCGCACTTGTTGCTCGTTTGGTTGGGTCAGTCTGTAGGAGCGTGAGGATAAAGTCCTTGGCATCTTTGGAAACGTCTCTCCAGTATCTTTCATGGAACACGATATGGCCGCTTCGGCATTCGTCGATCAAGTCTTGGAGGTTCTCAGAGCGGAATGGAGAATAACCGCAGAGTAATGTATAAGTGATAACCCCGAGAGACCACATGTCGACGGCTTTTCCATGTCCCTGCTTCAACATCACCTCGGGGGCAGCATAACCGAATGAACCCGCCATATTTGTGAGGACTTCAGATGGACTGTGCAACATTTTTGCAATTCCAAAATCGGCCAAGACGAGCTGTGAATCTTGGGCGCGAGTGAGATAAAGGAGGTTCTCAGGCTTCAAATCTAAGTTCAAAGTTAGTTGACAGGCTTGAAATAGAAACAGAAAGAATTTACCTCGATGGACGATATTGCGCTCATGCAGGTAGTTGACAGCATCCAGCACCTGCAGGATTGTCTGGGAAGCATCCTTCTCCGTGAATTTTCCATAGTCACAGATTCTATCGAACAACTCTCCGCCAGTAGCTAACTGGGTTACGATATAGTATTTATCCTGCATCTCGTCAGCACAACAGTGTGCCAAGGGGATCAGCCGCAGCTCTAAACATACCCTCGATTCAAACCAATCATGGAATCTGACAATGTGGGGATGGTGAAGGCGTTGCAACATATCAAGTTCATCGTAGACCATCTGTTCGTTGCCTTTCACATTCTTCTTGAGAATTATCTTGACGGCTGCCTTTCCATTCGGGCCTTCTGCTTCACGAACAATGCCATATGTTCCAGCGCCTAGCGTCCTACCAAATTTGTACTGTGCTCTGGCGTCCGTAAGCGATAAAGGTTCCATGATTTTTAGTCAACAGGTATTCCGTACTTTTTCTCGTAGCTTTCAGGTTGCCCTTGCAGCTTATTGAGCATAGTTGTGACTGGGAAGTATCAAACTTATATGTTAGCCTTCCGAATCTCGAATATTATTTGGCATTGACAAGCATGACCATGTTTGTTGTGATCAGGTGCATTTCCAAGTTCAGATGACCAATGGGAGCTGGCTTATAAAAGGAATCCATCGGTGTTTAACGGCGCAGGCGTAGTGAGTTGAATAGGAAGTCGAGGCATACCATGGACGAGGCAGAATTTGAATGAGATGAAAGATATTTGACTTACAACTCATATTTATTACTGTTTGAAGATCGATCCTCTCAAGCGCTGGGAGAAGAGACTGGTGGCCGTAACTTTTCAAGGGTAGTGCGACGGCGGCTTGGGAGCGCTGGGGCGGGGCAGAAAAACACAATCGAACGGAAGCAAACAGAAAACAGAAAGTGGTTCTTGAATAAGACAAGGTGACCTTGTGGAAAGAAGGGGTCTAAGCGTTCTGTTGACCTCTGCCTTGCGGATCTGCGAGCAGTTAGCCTGTCAACGATTGAGCTTGCAACTGGCGAACTACGCGCTGAGGATCCCCGCGGAGAGATCACCAATTCTGACCAGGCCAAGATTAATGACGGAGTGCACAACGTACCACCAGGGATCAAACCATAGCATTGATTTCTGTGAGCACTGACGGAGAGGTGATGGACGGGTTGGGAAGAGGAAGCGCAGGGAGAGGCTGAACGAGATGTGTTGACTGCGGGGTCCGACGGTCAGCCTTCGTTTCCCAGTGACCTGAGATTCCAGGCAACTTTCGCAGCACCCAGAGGTACCTGAACCATCCCTGGATCGGCCTCAGCCTCCTGGGCGAAAGTGGGGCAGCGCTAGGCACCAGCCACAGCTTGGGTCACCAGCCGCAACAAGCCTCCCGCGGACAAAGAAGCGAGCCTGCAGCAGGAACACCTCCGAGAGGCAAATTGTAGCGCGACAGGGACAAGGTAAATATCCAGGCTGGTGGTATAATGCTGCAACAAAGGTTGGGAACCTTCGGCCAGTTGATTGTTGGAGGTCAGCATTGAGATCGGTGGCAAAATCATCCCGTGTCCTCTGCTCAAGCATCCAATCAATATGCAGAGAGGATTCCCCAACGCGAGTTATAGAGGAATGTCCAAGTGGATAATGTACTCCATACGGAGCAAAAAGGGTACCGAGTCAGCCAAAGCATGCCAGAAGATTTATCAAAATCCAATGGCGCTCCCATTGTAATGTTGCGTTTGCTTACCCCCAGAATGTGGTGCAAGGTTGAACAACATTGATGCATTATAAGCATGTGGAGGCAATATCCTTATCTCACATATTTAATACAGAAAACTCCATGCATTATTGCAGAGATGGGCTATTCCATCTACAAAGCACTCGGTATTCAATCCTTGTGTTTCTTCGTCACCGTCTTGACTGCAAAAAAGCCATTCCACCAAAACTAACGCACCATGTTGAATCTCAGCTCAACCAGCTAGCTAGCTAGAAGTGGACTAGGGCGGTTCACAAGCCACACACGTGAGATCCTTCGCCCATCGTCATCGGCCCTGCGCTTGCCGGCCGCCCTGCGTAGGCACCCACTGATCATAAGACGATGCCTGGTTATTCTTTGCCCGGAGCTGTGAATTGATTGTTGTTTCTCTTTGGCTGGAGTGGACTGACTGATCAATGAACCCAAGAGGTGTAGCTTACCAAATCAGGCTCACCCACCTTGTGCTCTGCAATGAGTCACTGTTAATCAAAAGTGCTTTTATTCACTAACTCTGAAAGCTTCTGCTGGGTTTCTACACTTTTATTATTCTCTCTCCTCTGTGTACAACCTGTATCCTGTATCATTTTCCATTTTTATCAACATGTTCGCGAACAAGCGTCTGGGAAAGGTAAACTTGCAAGTCACAGCTATGCGCCGGTTGGCGGGGCTAACACTGGAATATAGGAACTGCTCAAGGTACTACTGTTCCTGAAACCTCGCTGCTGATGATGCCGCCTTCTCATGGTTGCTGAGGTCCTTCTCTAACAACATGCAACTCCGCAGATGCAATCCTCCCTTCCACCTGGAATATCCATAGTGAACGCAGACAACTTCCACGAGTGGGAAATGGATATCCAAGTTCTTGATTCTAATCCTCTCTACCAAAACGACACATACCGCCTCCATTTCACATTTACCAAAAACTACCCCATAGGTTCGCTCCGAAACCCTCTTCTTCCAATATTCCAAGATGAATAAATACTCATTATAGGCTTTGATCACAGAGGCTCCCGAAGTCATATTCATCTCCCTTCCTCAGTCATCGCCGACGCCCCGTCGCATCCCCATCCATCCCCATGTCTACAGCAATGGAATCATATGTCTTGACCTCCTCGGCCCCACAGGCTGGACCCCCGTACAAACGGTAGAAAGCGTCTGCATGAGCATCCAGAGCATGCTCACAGGAAATACCAGGAACGAAAGACCACCTGATGATGGGGATTTCCCTCCTGGGTCCCGCCCAAGGCCAAGGGACCTTTTATTTGAATATGACGACGACGGAGTTTGAATAGATGCATACGAATCAAGAGGGAAAATAATCTGCCTCCGGCCTTTTGTTATTCACGGATTGCGCGCGGTTTGGATAGAGGCCTTGTGCCATTTGGCTCTACAACCCTTGGGCAATGGAAATGCGAGGGAAGTTTGTCTCCTACGTATCCTTGCTACAGATGACTCTTATGTGCTTTTTTGTGGCTGCTGAGGTTGTCGTTCTTGCCTTTTATTTAAGGCTGGACACTGACGATTCTTATGATTGATGAAATTTTGATACGACCATTGTTTTCACGTAGAGTCTATCACAAGAAGTCAGACCGACTTTTCCTTTTTTTCTTTCCCCCCCTTGCACGGGAGATGACTGGGTTCACGCTAGCACTCCAGGTCTAATGAACTACAATTCACACCAAGATAATGGCCTTGCATAGAAATGGAAGAAAGGAACATATATTGTAACAGACAGCTAGGAAAAGGGTACATGCAAAGTAGTAGGAGTAGGTAATGTAAAACAATTCGTCCCCATCTAGCCACTCGTGCCCTCGAGTAATGTTTAGCGAAGAATAGCTGGCTATGCACTAGATCGAATTGGTAGCAAATACTTTTCACTTATGCAAGTAGGTTATCTGTCAACCTCTCCAAACACAAGATCCATGGTACCTAGAAAACGAACGGATTAGTGTTTTGAATCTTTTGTAACGGCTACCCTACATCGAGTGAAGGCTTACCAATAATAGCGACGGCGTCAGCTAAGAGATGACCTCGAGAAATCTGATCGAAGCATCCGAGATGGGCGAATCCCGGAGCACGGATCTTACATCTATAAGGTCTCTCACTTCCATCGCTGACAATGTACACACCCATTTCACCCTTGGGAGCTTCAATGGCAGAATATGTCTCTCCAGGAGGAACTGCGTAACCCTTTGTAAAGAGCAAGAAGTGGTGAATCAAAGCTTCCATATTCTCCTTCATGGCGGCACGGGGAGGTGGGTTAATCTTGTAGTCTTCCACTCGAACTGGGCCGGCTGGCATTTTGTTCAAGCACTGGTGGATGATTCGAAGCGATTGCCGGAATTCCTCCATACGGCAAAGATATCGGTCGTAGCAATCTCCATTGACTCCGACAGGCACATCAAACTCGACCTGGTCGTAGGCGTCATATGGCTGCGACTTACGAATGTCCCATGGCACACCGGAGCCTCGCAACATGACACCTGTGAAGCCGAAATTGAGGGCATCTGCGGCTGAGACGACACCGATCCCTTGGGTTCTGGCTTTCCAAATTCTGTTGTCTGTGAGAAGTTCTTCGGTTTCGTCGATGCGGTCACCAAATTGAGTAGCCCATTGATAGATATCGTCGAGGAGGCCGAGAGGGATATCTTGATGAACGCCTCCGGGTCGAACATATGCAGCATGGAGACGAGCGCCGGAAACTCTTTCGTAAAATTCCTAAAGACAAGTCAACATTGGTCCTGGCATACGGGCAAGGGGCAAAGGCTGATGGTACCATCAATTTTTCTCGTTCCTCGAAACCCCACAAGAATGGTGTTAAAGCGCCAACGTCCATAGCGTGGGACAAAACGGACATCAGGTGGTTAAGAATTCTAGTAATCTCGCCGAACAATGTTCTAATCCACTTTGCTCTCTCCGGGATCTCGATATTTAACAATTTCTCCACAGCTAACGAGTAGCATTGTTCATTGGTCATCATGGAAACGTAGTCCAGGCGATCGAAGTATGGAAGGGCTTGCAGATATGTCTTATACTCGATCAACTTCTCGGTTCCACGGTGTAAAAGTCCGACGTGCGGGTCAGCGCGAACAATCTCTTCGCCATTGAGTTCCAAAATCAATCGCAACACACCGTGGGCGGCGGGATGTTGTGGCCCAAAGTTGACTGTATAGTGACGGATCTTTCGGTTATGGCCAGCATCGGATTCCAGGCCGGATGCCTCGCCAACTGCGGTCGGCGAATGGGGTCGGAAATCGGGGCCGGTTGGAATGAGTCTGGTTGCTTGATATGCGGATTCATCGTACTGTCGGGCGGCGGAAGAATTGGAGAAGAGTCTGGGGGCTGCGAGGCGGGCCGCTGTGTTTGGTATGGAACTCGAGACACAAAGTCTCTTGGGCGCATGTCGCGCCAGGAATGTGAGAGTTGAGGCCATGGTGCGCGAGCAGAAGTTCCAGCACAATCCCGGATAAGTGTGCCTCAAACCTCTATGCAATTGACGGGAAATCTGCGGCGAGCAGAAGGAATTGAATCTGCGGCTGTCGTCACTTTCTTTCCCCAAAAGCGAGCCGAGATGGATGTCGATTTGGACCAATCACGTGACTGCATTGTCAGTGACCGATTCCGGGCGATGTGATTGGCCACAAAGCTGAAGCTGAGGAGAAAGATATACTATACTATATTGGGACTAGTGCAGCCTGTGCTATCGGTCGGTCTGGTTGGCGGAAGATCTCGAAATCTTTCACCGCGGGAGCTAGCGGTCAAACTTATATCTCTTTCAGTCGGCGCAGAGTGGCTTCTCCCCGCGGTACCATAAAGCAAGGAAGCCATGGCGCCCCGTATAGCTTCGGCGGAAGAGGTTCGCAAAAGAAAGGTACTTTCCCCAGCTGCGTTAACGAGTTTATGGTTCTTGCTGAATATCATAGATCATTGGTATCAACCCAGAAACGGTCACGCATATCTCCGCCACAGACTTCCCGGGACATTGGCCAGGAGAAGACCATTCTTGGTCTGTGAATAAGTTTAAAGAAGTAAATTTGACCCCCCGCGCATTCTCCGGCTTCATGCTTATTTATATTCATCCTTTCTAGAACTTTCAAGTCACTTTCCACAAGAATGACTCTTTCGAGGCTACCTTTTCCCTAATCGGAGTCGATGCTGCCGTTGCGAATGCTTTTCGACGTATCCTTATTGCCGAAATCCCCTCTCTTGCCATCGAGTTCGTTTTCATTCACAACAATACCTCTGTGCTACATGATGAAGTTCTCTCCCACCGGCTAGGCCTCGTTCCGTTGAAGGGTTCTCTTGAGGGTATCAATTGGATGAGCTGGTTTAGAATGCCCAAAGAAGGAGAACCTGATTCTGGTAGCCCGGCCAGTGATTCTAACACTATCGTTCTAAAACTCAACGTGGAGTGCACAAAGAACCAAAACGCACGTCCCGACGAGGACGATCCTACGAAACTCTATAATAATGCACACGTCTACGCCAAGGACATTGTTTTCGAGCCCGTGGGCCGTCAGGCTGCAATTTTTTCGGGACCGCACGGAGTGATTCAACCCGCATATCCGGACATTCTGCTCGCAAAGCTACGGCCGGGACAGAAGATTGATATTGAGATGCATTGTATTAAGGGAATCGGGCAGGATCATGCCAAATTCTCTCCGGTAGCGACAGCATCGTATAGACTCCTTCCAGATATCCAAATCACGCGCCCAATACTCGGAAACGATGCTGTTAACTTTGCAAACTGTTTCCCGAAGGGAGTTATTGGGATCGAGCAGGTGACGGCGGAAGACGCAGCGCAAGCGGGGAGCGGATACGAAGGACAAGAAGGAGAAAAGAAAGCTGTGGTTGTGGATCCTTTCAAAGACACTGTTAGCAGAGAGTGTTTGCGTCACGAGGAGTTCAAAGGCAAGGTTAAGCTTGGCCGCGTCCGGGATCATTTCATTTTCAATATTGAGAGCGTGGGACAGTTTAACAGCGATCTGCTCTTCCTTGAGAGCGTCAAGGTCCTAAAACTCAAGTGCGCGAGATTGAAGCGGAATGTTGCCGCGTTGGCTGACATGACTAACACGCAACTAGCATAGACGTGCTAGTATGTTGGGTTTGCGATCATCTTGCATTTAGGCGTTCGTTTATAAAAGGAACCTGATTTTTTCTTGCGTTGCGATGATAAACTTGGGAGTTATTGCGGGAAATACATATCTGGGCTGTATATATGTAATTTTAGGATTTTCTGTTGATGAAAAACACTGATATCGTCCAGGCTGCGTCATTGTTGCATGGTCAAGATCTCGCGTTTGAGATTCAGTGATTAAATACAAGCTTAAATCGGAAATCGATGGTGAACGCCGGGTCACTAACAGCCACTTCTTCCCCATCTACGACTAGTTCTTTCAGCTTGCGCTTCAGGTTGGGCCGTGTCTGTTCCTCTAACTGTGGCGGAAATCGCTGATACAGCGTCTTCTCTTCAGATCGCAAACTGGGAGACTTGAGCTGGGCTTCTGCTCGGTCGCCCAGCGAGTCAACAAAGTCTTGGAGGGTTGCTTCGGGACTAACGGTTATCTTCTTGGCCAAATTCCCACAAACAGGACAATCTGGTTTCTGTTCCGAGGCAAAGGTATACGTGTAAACACCCTCTTCTCCGGCGTACATCATGTAGTTCTCCAAAAACGGATTGCATGAGGTTGCGATTTTGAGTGCTTCAGATGTACATGCAGCTGCAATCACGGCGTTTGTGGAAGCTATGGCGGGGATGATATTCTTCACGACACCCTGAGTCATCGAGAATGTCACCCCTGGGATAGAAAACTGTTTGGCACGTTCCACCGCAGTCTGATAGATCCAACTGACGTGCTCCAAGTCATCGCCGTCGAACTCTTCTCCCTTGCGCTTCTCGCCCCAGGCGATTTGGTGCGCCCATTCAATACAGTGCTGAGGCTGGCGGGGAATAGTTGCAATCGTGCACAAAGGGATTGCAGGCCGTGGTGCATGCATGTCAAGCTGGCACTCGATACAAGATGTGAGAGTTGGCAGTATCACTCTCGCCTGCCCTTTGAATCCTGCATACGAGTTAGTTCGGGGTGGACTGTATATCGGAAGAGCATGGCTCATTAGAACACCAGTGAAAGGTGCTAGAACGTACCCTCTGTGCCACCGTCGATAAGTGGCTTCAAGCTCTCGGGGTTCTCCGGGTCCACCATTCCCACAAGGGTAGAATTAATCCACCGTCGCGCTTCGATGCTATCAAGGCCACAGACAACGATCTTGAACTGCATGTAGTAATCCTCATCCTTGTCTTGAATCTTTCCGACATAGGGTGTGATTCTCACCCCCTTTACTCTCTTCTGGACAAAGGCAGCTGCAACTTCAGCCTTTGGCTTCCCGACATCATCTTGGCGGAAAAGAAATTGTCGGTTTAAGTTGGAGATATCGATTGTATCTGGATGCTCATCTGTTAGGAGGATCTCCCCAAGGTGCCAGACCACAGCCACTTACCCATGTCAATCACATGGATGTCTTTGAAGCCCGATAAGGCCAAATTCTTGAGAATCTCACATCCGAGCCCTCCAGCACCTCTGAATGCATTTAATCAACGGAGCAGCATCGATATAGATCAAGGTTACTTACATCACCCTAATCCAGCGATGAGTTCATGGTAACAACCAAAAAGACAATTTCCATATACATACAGGACTTTTGAAGATGCTACAGCAGACATGGTCTCGGGTCCAGGAACCCAATCGTCGTCACTGAAGGGGCCTGACCGAGTAAGAATTCTGTGGAGATGCTTCCTACATCAACATCAGACGCGTTTAGCTGGCAAGTGGGTCAAGGGAGGCCTCAAGAAATCCACAAACCATCTGCTTTGCTCAAAACTGGTGGGCTGGCAGCGCCCCCAGGAAGCCATTTTCTTCAAAGACTTGGTAATGTGGTTTAATATATTAGGATGTTAATGTGCTGGGTGGGAATCTTAAGGCGGGGATAATTCCTTGGGATGTTTTAAGTAGGGGAGGATGGGAAATCTAACTACTTCACGAAATGGTCTGTGTCAGTAGCTTGCTCCCTCCAAGCGCCAGAAACGTAGTTAACTAAGTAGTTGGCGCCTCGTGGTCTCGCTTTAGTCAGACAGGCTTCAAATGCACAAATCACTTTTGAGCAAGGATCCATCGGCAAGAGATAGTCACATTTTGCAGCTAACACAATAACTTTTCCCCAAAGACCGCGTTTAATCGATCCGAAGACCGCCATATTAGTCATCCTGTACTTAACTAGTCGTCCTAACTACTGTCAAAGTTCGACATTAATCCATATCGTCTGCCTACGACTGTCCTACTTGCTTTCTTGAACAATACCATCGAATACTTTGTCACAATATCCGGTCAGTCAGTATTTGATACCCGACCATGGTAGGGTTCCTGCCATGGAGAATCTCTTAACAGCCGTCAAGACTGTAAGCATCGGAAACCGTGACGAGGGCAATGGCCTGTCCGAAGTGATACCCAAAGGTTCCGTCCGTTCATCCGGTGAACAGCCCAGCGGAGAAGGGAAGTGCATCGTCAACACATCTCAGCAAGCTCTCCACCTTCTTGGTTCAGGGCCGTCGGATTCTCAGTTTCGCGCCGTCTTGAATTTTCTTGACCCAGCCAATACCCCTACAAGCGGATTTGATATAACGGAGCCAGAGCCATCCACTATTTCCATCTTGAACGGCCTAATTACTCTTGCGATCAATGATCGCTGGGCAAATATTGAGAGAGAGTATCGATCATCTCCCAAGTCCAAAAGGGCTAAGACTACTCGCACAATAGTGCTGAGGTGCTTGACCAGCGTAAGCGGGATTGGAGCTTTGATTGCCAATCTTCGTTCAAATCTCGACCAATTTCAGGTTCAAAAACGAGGAGATAGTCTATCCAGGCAGATACTGCTCCGTGACACCCTTTCTGCCCTCTCATACGTCCTGCGGGCACCAAATTTGCTATTAAACGTCTATCAAAAGATTGCAAACATTTCTTCTCCTGCTAAGAAAAGGTCTGCTTGGTCACAATTCATTGTATTTCTCTCTTCGGGGAGGGCATTGTCTACCGCAGGTGAAACGTTCGCGACTCTAAAAGATGTCGGAATCCCTAAATCAATACGATGGCTTGGAGAGGGCAAAACCTACGCTTCGTGGCTTGGCCGTTGTATCGTGTCCATGGCTTTAGGTTTAACAGATGAGGACTCGGAAGGATGGAACAATCTCGCGAAGTTTACCCAGCGAGCTTTAAGCCTCGGGTATCAGAGTGAGTAATTCCTCCCAACGCCACCTTTTCTTTTCACGACTTATCATCTACATAGACGATCTTTTAAATGAAATATATTCCGGCCTATTACTTCATCCTGGCATCTCAGCAAGACCTTTTGGAACCCTAATAGGGCTCCTGGAGCAACATTCCCAGAAACGGGTTTTCGAATGCATAATCCATGACCTAGAGACGAAATATTTCCTAGATATTACGGGCCCTGCTTCCACTCCATTGCATGAGACCGAGACGCGCTCTGCTATTCGAGGCGTTTCGGCAGTAGTATCCTTGATTTTAAACCTACTGCCCTCTCTGTCCTCTCACGTTATTGATTGTCTGATTAAAGCCGTTGGCGGTAATATCAAGGGAGCCAATATGCGCCGTGCTCTCCTTGTAATATATGCAAATCGAACAGGTATGATTTTCTAGTTCCAGGTCCTGACAGCTATCTAACTCAGTCGCTTAGATATCCTGTCCGAGATATTAAAGAAGGCCATAGCGCTATTTGGAGACGAGCTGTACCTAAAACACGCACCACAGATGATCCAAGAAGGTGAGTAATTAAAGTACACCACCTTACCAGTTCGTGCTCTAACAATCACATAGCCAATTGCCAAGTGATATTACTTGCTGCCGGGTACCTACACAGGGCTGATGCGGCTGAGTTGGAGAATATAACTAAATCAGGTTCCTATCTTTCTACAATTACCCACAGAATTGGAGCGTCTCTCCCTCGATCTCGATTTCTAGGCATGGTTGTGGGAATGGGTCTTTCAAAATTAACCGATCCTCCTGATAAAGCTTTGAAATTCCAATCGGATGAGATGCAGAGCCAGGATGCTTTGTGGTATCTGAGCCTTACCGAAGTCATGGATGAAGTTGGTGTTCCCACGGAATTGACGACTCTAAAAGCTGTTGGATCCCAGAGTCTATTAAAGCGACATTCATCTCAACAACCGAACACTCCACAGCCCAAATCCACACCCAGCCAAACTAGAGTCGTTGGCATTGAAGAGATATCTGATAAGTCAGAAGAAGAAGGCCTCTATGCATACGAAAAACCTGATTCGGACGCTTCAGATTCAGAAGAGGATCCCACTCTTATTCAGCGTTCAAAGCCTTCTGCTCCAGTGTATGTTCACGGTTAATTTTAACGAGTGTCTATAACGAGCTAACATTAGGTACCAGCTATATCCGTGATCTTGTCTCGGCTCTTAGTGACACAGAAAATCCAGACCGTTACCATTTAGCCATTTCGACCGTACCAGACCTCATTCGTCGCAAAACCGCTTTCGGTACGGAAATTGTTGAAAGTGCCAACGAGCTTGCTTTACAACTTGTTTCCCTACAAGATAAGTATGACATGCCGAAATTTCACGAGCGGCGAATGGAAGGTCTCGTCGCCCTTATTGTTGCCCTTCCGTCCCAAATGGGGCGATGGATGGCGCACACACTTTTTAACGTCGACCTTTCTCTCGCGCATCGGTCATATGTTTTAATAGCGCTTGGACTAGCTGCCAGAGAACTCGCTGGTTTCGGGGACGCGGATGCAAAGGTCATGGGGCTTGAAAAATCTACCCATACATTTCCTTCGAAAAGATTGCCGGAGCATCTAGAACCAATTTATGACTCATCCAAGGCGTCAATTGAGACCATATCAAAACAAATCTCCCAAAACATCTTAGAGCCCATGGCCCTGACTGCAGCAGATAAGTTAACTGGTCCCAATATTATGAAGCTCCGGCCTCTTTCTTCCTATGCAGAGGAAGAACGACAGAAACGTGGCTTGGAATCAAGACGGAGGCAAAAGTCCGTGCCCAAAGAGCTATATGGGGTTTTATCAGAAGCATTTCTCATGCCATTACTGGGGGAATTCAGTGTGATGATGTATACAATGCGGTAAGCAAAGTTCTCTAGTTCACACCGCAGAGCTTGTCTGACTGGAGTATAGTTCCTTCGGGAATAGTAATCCATTCCTCGAACCACATCTCATTTCTCTTTCTGTGCAAACAATTACCCTTCTCCTGTCAACCATCGGGCCACATACGCCCACCCTCAACTTATCCACAAGCGAAGTGTTTTCGTTTCTCACCACATTGCACAATTTGCCTGTCGCCTCTGATCCCATCGTCCTACCTGCTATCCTATCCCTATTTCTCACCGTTGTGGACGTCAATATTGTATCTGGGAGTACTGCGGAAGAAAGCTTAGCGACTCAATTTGCTACTTCAGTCCTTGAGCTGCGAGAATGGGTCGATGGTGTGTTTGAACGGGCGCCTAAAGAGGATGAAAGGGTGAGAGCCCTAGCAGCAGGGATCATGGTGAAGCTCGAAGAAGTAACGAGAAGATACCAGGGTCGGTTGCTTGGGCTGGATAGCAAGTTTGAATACTGAAATGAATACGACTGATAGCCAAAGACTCCTTTTGATATATCACTGTCGTTGACACAAATAGGCTTTTCTGATAGTGCTCGCCTGCTAAAGGTTCTCCTAAGATGATATCGTAGCCCATAGTGGAAAATCCAGAACAAATCGTAGAAGATGCAAATTTTTACGACTTTTCTATCGCAGCCTCCATCATCTTGGTCCCATTGAGAATTCCCGTCGTACATATCATTATGCGTCTTCTGGCTGCTTCCTGTTGGGCAATGAATCGTAGAGCAGCGATCTCCGTAAAGGTAATTCCACCCAAAAAGAAAATGAAAACCGTCTTGATACCTCCAGCTCCCGTTAATGTTTGTTTCGCACGAGTGACCTTCTCCTCTGCTTTTTGGACGATATTAAATGTAGATCCACGAGCACTCTTCACAATGTCTTCGAACCCTAACCAGCCCGGAGATGGTGTGCCACCCGATGCAGCCGCTGCCGGCGCGGGAAGATTTTTCGTGAGGGAGAGTATATGAGACTTTTGTAAGATACACTGAATCAGGCGAATACTTAACGGCGCATATCCGCTGTATACGTATGCTATGTCATCCGGGTTTTGCTCATCGACTTCATCGACAATGAGTCGAAGCGCTTTACGTAGATAATTGTAGTTTGTTTTCAGGCCGGATGCTCCACCACCGCCGCCGCCGGTAGGTAGAATCATGGCTGTGGCTGAAGACCGTGATTGAAGTAGCTCCATCTTTTCAAGAGCGTCAAGTGTCAACAAATGTTGGTACCCGTAAGCTTGAAGAATTTGTCTTTTGAAATTATCAAGATCGCGGGGACGAAAACCCCCACAAACGCATGACTCAACGCATAACAGTCGTAGGACGGACGCGATGGGGACGTCCCTAGCAATTAGCTCTTCAATTAGATCATGCTGAGTAGCGGGATCTGCACCAGCTGCTATATTCTGCTGGACTTCAAGGATTCGCCGAAAGACATCAGAGCGAGTTTGGCGCATAATCTCTTCCGCGAGATTTGTATGAATTTTCAAGCTTGTGTGTTCGGCCTGGTAAGCTGGAAGTTTGTTGACGAATTCTCGCAACTCCGATGTTGTTTTGGCGCCATGCCGGCTCTCATAGTCGCTTTCCAGACGCCTTGCAACTTTATGCAGAAGGCCGCCAACAATGGCAAAGTTGGCATCGCGAAGTTGGCTGAAAAGTGGGTCGGACGAATCTACCTGGATTTTGCGTTTCAGCGACTGCTTTGGAGCTGACGATGCACCTGAAGCTGAACCTTGCGATGCCTGGCCCGGAGGACCCACACCAATTATCGTCGAATCGACTTCAGTTTGATTATTGCTAATCCCGAAAAATTCGTCCACGAGGCCCTCGTATGTCAGCTGTGTCATTAATACTGTTGCAAAGTCCACTTCACGGTCGATGATGATCAAATTTTCCATCGTAGAGCTGACCATGAGTCCTCTTCCGAGCCCATCCACTAGACCTGATGACTCTTCTGCGTCTAGTTCCTTTCTCATGCGCAGTAATTGATCTGCTAGCTTTCTCGCATTATCACCTTTTCCAACAATACGTGGAAACAGGCCATGTCTCCTCTGGAATTGCATCAACGCCTTTGCTGAAAGATTTATTGCGCCAGGATTTCGATGCTAGGAATTGTTAGAAGTATTAAAGATATAAATCAAGAATTACATACCAAATATAAATCACTAAAGGATTCTGGGAGCTCTAGAGAAAGTAGATCATTCTCAAGGGGAAAAAAGTACAAGGGGAGTTCGGCAATGTTTACATCTCCAATGATGCCTTCTTCTTCAAGGATCCGATCGGAAACAAGGGTCCTGCGTGGCACCCAGAATATCGAGAATTCGTGTTCGACAGTGTCATTCCGCTGAAGTTTCCGAATCTGAGCTAAAGTTATGATGTCAGCCCATACTGATGGCCATCAAACTGTGGTAGTGTGTAGAGAGAAAACCATAGGGATGGGCAGTTAAAAAAAAAATGAAAATTTAAAAAATTAATATAGGGAACTCGACTGACTACGAAGGGTGGAAGTAGGAAACCCACGTAGTCTACTGTTTGTCCCAAATATCTGGTAGATATGATTGAAAGGCATAATGGCAAAGTGTACTGATCGTGGTATTACAAGGCCGATGAATGAAATGCAGGGCGAATGATTCGCTTGACATACATACCAGAAACAAATTGTACGTAGCTCGGCTTCTCCGCATTGACTAGAAAAATAATATTCCGCTGAGATGAATCAACGTTTTCGTGTTCCAGTAGGAATACACGGTCAACTCCGTACTCCTGGAGGACAGAAAATTTGACAAACACTCCAACAGGACCAGCAAGAGCCTTGCTGATTACAAGGTTCTTTTTGCCCCTTACCTAAACGGTATATGAGTAAACAAATACAACTAGAAGAACAAGAGAGTAGACACTTACAGCTTCAAGGAGATCAAGAAGGTCTTTCTTGGATTTCTCCTTGATGTGATCGGCTTCAAGACCCGGATGAGGAGCCATTTTTATCGATTGGCTGCATTGAAGCAGCAAACTAGAAATTCTTCTCTCACGGAGACAAGCACAGCATGATCAAAGGGCCCCATGAATGTAATATACCACCGCTTCAGAGCTGCCAGGCAGCTGTAAAGTGCGACGACTACGGGTTTCGAGTTGGCGGACGTCGAGGCCGGAGATCTGCTACGCTAACCAAAAGCGGCTTAGCCTTCCCCCGCCACCGCCCAAGAAGGCGCATCCATCGCTGCCGAGCCCCAAAAGGAGACGCATCGAGTTTCGACCCGCCGTTCCTCCTGGCGATTCACACTTCCACCTGGTGTTCACTCGCAGGTGTGCTGCGAATAGTGTTAAATATAGGTGTCTGGAAACCTCTTTTTTTTTTTTTTCCTTTTTCAGATAAATATCAGTGTTTCCGACTGCGTCCAGTTCCTTGACTAACCAGCTTAATAACCTTCCCCTCTCCCTCCTCACAACACTTCTGCCTGCGCATACGGACATACAACCTAGCACAAAATGAGAAAGTTGGGCTTCGGTAAAAAAGGCGAAGACGGAGACGATGACAATAGAAGAGCCCTTTTTGGCTCAAGGTCAAAGGCGAAAAGCCCAGCTCCCCAGTCAAACCCCTATGCCCAAACCACCGGATATTCCGACCCCTATACGGAGGCAAAATCAAAGCTCTATGGCAATCCCCAATCTCAGCCCAGTGATAACGGACAATCTGGAGGGCCAAAACGTGATTACGGCGGTGTAAACCAGCCCCCGAATCAAATGGGAGGTGGTTATGGTCCAGGGAAACAGAGCGTCCAAGGAGGGTACGGGAGAGACAGATATGGAGGCAGCGATAATACAGGCGGAGGTTCTAGATACGGCCCTGGAGGCTATGGTGGCCTTGGAAATGCGGACCCTAATGCCGGAGACGATAATAGAAATGCCCTGTTCGGAGATGCTCGCCAGCGATTCCAGGAACGACAACAGCAGCAGGACAATACCCGTCCTCCCCCATATAGCGCTCATGCTGGAGCTGAGAACGAGAGCGGTGCTCCCGGCACTACATCTGGAGGCTACGGTGCTTATCAAGACAGACAACTCACGGCCGAAGAGGAAGAAGAAGAGGACGTCCAGGCCATAAAACAAGAAATTCGCTTTATGAAACAGCAAGATGTCTCCTCTACTCGCAACGCTCTCCGTGTGGCTGCGGAAGCCGAAGAAACTGGTCGCAGTACTCTTGCTCGTCTAGGTGCTCAAGGTGAACGAATCCACAACACCGAAAAAAATCTCGATCTTGCAGCAAACCAGAACCGGATCGCCGATGAAAAATCTCGTGAGCTCAAGAAACTCAACAAGAGCATGTTTGCTATGCATGTTTCGAACCCGTTCACAAGCGCAGAGCGTCGCAGGGCTCGCGATGAAGCGATCATTAGTCGCCACCAGGACGAGCGATTCCAACGAGAAGAAACGCGGCTAGCTGCATTCCGAACGGAGCAGCGTTTGGGTCAGACTTTCAAGGAGATGGAGAAGCAGGGCCATTCCGCGACGTCAAAGACGAAAACTAATCTTGCGGAACGCTCAAAATACCAGTTTGAGCAAGACAGTGAAGATGACGAGATGGAGAACGAGATCGACTCTAATCTTGATGCTCTTCATGGTGCTGCAGTGAGACTGAATGGTCTCGCCAGAGCTACTGGGAGAGAACTTGAGGAGCAGAACAAACGCTTGGATGTTATTATGGGCAAGGTGCGTATCTCTTTCGATGCGTCTCCCGTGCTCTCTATACTAATAGCTCATTCCTACAGAGTGACTCTGTGGACGACCAAATCCATATGAACCGCGCCCGGCTGGACCGGATTCGTTAAACGCGGCAAATGTCTTTCTGTTCTATTTCAAGCAACATAGGTCCCGGCGTATAGGCTTCTATCTACATTAGTACCAGTCCGACTTTATTACATATCAAGAGACCCACCCTCTAGGTCTATGCCTGGGTAGTAAACCCTTTCATTGATATTGTAACCCTTCAGTATCGTCCTCGTTTTCTGCATTATACGGATATATCGATCGATCTACATACAATAGAGACTTGCTGGAAACGATGCTAAACTTAATCACTCTTCTCCCTTGAAAGTAGTCGCTTCTTCAGCACAAATTAGTATGTTTAATGCTATACATGCTTGGCTGCTTAGGTTCTCAAACAAGTCATATTCGAATAGGCTATTATTCGGCGCCAGAGTCCAGTTTCCAAAAAGCATAATTGATTGAAATGCCTCGGGCCTGTCTCGCATAATAGTCATGTGAACAACCAAATATTAAATCTCTTCCAAACGAAGCTCATCTACAAAGGTGGAATACTACAAATGACCAACAAATTTCCTTTTTCCATCATATAAGAAAGGCTCCAGGCTCATAATTACGTCGCACCATGCCATAAATCCCATGGCCACTCGACTCATTTGACCGGCTAACATATTCGGCTATGCCGGAATCGCGTTTAGTATCTCATCCAGCATGGTATTGGCCCAATCAATATCGGTGCTCGTATCTATCTCATCTGGAAAATTCATATCTTCCATACTTTGCATACAACCAAGATCCAAAAAGTCAATGTTAATGTCCTGTACGTCCTGGTAGTGTGGAGGTGAGGACGGTTGCTGTGAATCATGCGGCTGTATGGGAGACGATTCACGCTTCTCTTGAGCTTCATTGGTTGAACCAAACTGCTCAGGGCTCCAGGACGGTGACGTAGCTTGAGTGGACGGCATCTCCGCCTTTGTCAGAGTATCAATCACGGCGCTATCGTCAGTGTTGACCTTAGGTGAAGTCGAGTCTGTAGAGGACAGTGGCTGATCATTGTTCTGCTTCTGTTCTCCTGGGTCTTCCTTTGGAGTATGGGCGGCCATCTCCTGGCTTAGTGTCTTGTCTGGATAAGTGGAGTGTGTAATAGCTTTCACTGGTAATTCTCGGACAAGGATTGGGAGGTCGCTGTCCTGTGGATATCTGCCCCGTGCAAGGGCGTAATCAAGAGTAAGGGACAGGCGCAAATAGAATCGCGGCTGTCGAATAAATACTTCTGCCCAACCCCTTGTTTCTTGACCAACGTTCGGGTCGTCACCTATACATGTCGTGGTTAGGATACTCCCAGAAATCCTGCGTGACATGGTTACCCACCTTCCAACGGTTTTTCAAGAATGGAGAGATTCTGAGCCTCCGCAAACTGGAGAATCTCGCGTATGTACACCGCAACATCGTCGGTTCCATCGTATCGACTTCGATACAATTGCATGACTTCCGCGTAGTATCGTAATCGTCGTTTCCTCGTGGCGGACTGCGATGCAGATCCCGAAAGTTTCACGTCAAGTGCATTTAAAACAAGAGGTAAAGCCGTATAAGCAATGCTGGAAAGAGATTTCAGTACGTATTATACAATAAATGTTGTTTTGCAAGCACCACGCGAAAGGCGCGGACACGTTTATCATGGCACTTACGCGCTGATAGGAAGATGGCATGCCACGCCGTGGGCTAGCAGCCGTTTCACGGATTTGGTTATGCCCAAGGCTGAGCTCTCCAAGTCATCCCTAAGAGCTTGAAGGCGATTCTCATACGAGTCCAGTACCAAATCTGAATTGGCTTCGAGTAGCAATGCTTCATAATGGCATAAAGCAACACGCGCGGCACTAGATATTAAGTCATCAGGTGTCGCGTCAATTACCAAGGTTATGGAATGGGTGGACATACTGATAGTACATATTCGTTAACTCGGAATAAAGTATGACAGACTCGTGTGGTTTTTTTTGGCCATGGAAGGGGGCAAATGCCGCTTTGGCGTCTCGAGCCCAGTGTGCTAAATTTTCTCTAAATCCGACAACATCAGCAACACTGGCTTCAAGTTCTGTCTCTGTCATGGGCGGCGGCTGCGTAAAGCCGTTTGCGGTGTAAACAGTTGCCACTACGTCTGTGAGGACCATTGCGAGTTGGCACTGTAGGTTCAAGACTTTTGCAAGATGGCGTTTCGTTTCAACGTTGTAGACCTCGGAGCAGTACATCTCCTCCTGCATATCTCGCTCATCCATACAGTCTAGTGACAAGTCAAAATTAGGTGGAGCTATCTGGAGATGCCGACGCAGCCCTAGAGGCAGGATTCTGTCACGCAGCAGAATGGACCACCATAGCCTCTTCTTCGTATTGCGGAGCGGATCATCGTGATTCAGTTTGTGGTAATTGTGTGCTTCCAAAAGCAGCGCGTTTTGAATTGCACTAGTGAGCCACAAGCTACCCGCATGGCGATTCACCGATGAACTTTGATAAGTGAGTAACACAGAGCCTTGCGCCTTGTATAACACATTATGCTCAGCATTGAGATTATAAAGCAACTACAGAGAAAAAGTCGATATTAGCCTAGGCAAATTAATTAGATTTCATAAACAATTACCTTTGCGCGGTCATATAATATATTTCTCGCAGTGCGAGTATCCGGGAATCCGGCTGCATTGATAACTTGAAACGGAACAAACTAGGAGCCAGAACCATGTTAGCTAGGTACAAGGTGGGGAGAATACAGAGAACAAATGCCATACCGCACAACTCGCAAATAACATCGCTTGGAACACAAAGAGCGATATGGTATGAGGCTTTCGCGAGTGGCCAGGTCGGTTATAGTAAGACCTCCAAAAGTCCCCCTCGTGGATCACCGGGAGGCATGGGTGCACGTGCAGAAAGTATTGCCGGACAAACTCATCTAATATCGGAGACGCGGGGACATGTAGAGAACCCTTCAGTTCTAAATATCTGACATCTTCGGCCGGCAGCGTTGGGAGATCACTCAGCTCCAAGAAGCGGTAAAATGAAAAAACAACGTTTGAGTTATGACGTGGAGCATCAATTGCGGTTGGAAGTATAAATTTAGGAATCTGAGCCTCGAGAGTAGCGAAGGTTTCAAAGGGAATTTCCCCTGTATACCATTAGAACAGGGCCTATTGACAGAAAATGGACGGGTCTTTATTATCAACAGAAATCGAGAACAAAACTTCCACAGTGGAAAATACATACGCGCTTCCCACAAATTAGGACCGAATTGATTTTGCCGTGCTGGACCCGCGAACCGAGATATGTCTGGAATTTGAATTATCTTTTGCGCCGGTTGTAGACCTGCGTTACTATTCGGTTTATGAACTAGGGCATTGGGTAAGGCTGTATCGGCTCTCGGGGGTATTTTTACTCCACGCCTGATAAATGTGAACTGTAAGCTTAAAATATTTAAATACCCGGTATATATGAGCTCGAGGAAAGAGGCATTTATAGACACTAGAATGCAAACTTGAGATTTGGAGGTGGATGATAACGATAGGACTCACCCCCTGCCTGAACTTGCACGAATAGCACACTCATGGCCATCAAGGCGACAATTTGTACATGGATTCCCGTGAATCGAAACATCGCAGCGGACCTTGCGCTCATGGCACCATATACACGCCATACGCGCCCGCTTTCGGGGCCTCTGTGAAGGGTCCATATTCGGAATCGCCAAATGGAAACAAGTCGACTTGTTGGGGAATGCGATGATACTTAATCTCTTTGCGTTTGTCACTGGGCTTGTTAAGGGGCTGCATCCAAATCTGCGTTGGGGGGTTTGGGGGGGGGGGGTAAGTAAACAGGAAGAAAATGGATTATGTCGGAGGGTAAGGAATAATAGTGCTGGGGACCTAGGCTCCAGGGCGTGAGCTGAGAAGGTGTCTGACAACATAACAAGAGTGGGGAGCTTCTATAATCCTTATGACCTATTTTAGTAGGTTGCCATAAGATCTTAGCGTCCTACAGAGTTCCCGAGAAATCTCGAATTCAATACATTATCGAAGTCGAGTTCCGAGACCATAAAGGCCGATGATATCTGATTTACCGGGCCATCCGGCCTGCCAGCGGCGTCGCCTGAGACTGCCGTAAAATCAAAGGAAAGACGCCATCAGCCATACCACGGTTGGCTACCAGATGTTTTTATTTTTTGCCTCTCTCGAACGATTAGAAATGGTAGCACACCATTTCAGCTTTTTGAGGGCATTAGGCGACTCCAAGAATCTGGCCTCCGGCTATCGGTATCTTGAACATCCGGAATAATGGACCGAGTCAGTTGTCCATCGTTTAGCTTCGTTGCCAAATCGGTTCGACGAGCATTGCGAGCAACGAAAACCAGTGAATGGGCCATTCGGCATGCTTTCACGGGCAAGGATAAACTGTATTCACGGTGGCGAAAAGAATGATGTCCAACAGCTTCACCGTCAATAGCTTCACCGTCAACAGCAGCCCCGTTACTCGAGGCCTTGGAAGAGGAGGCGTGAACAGTGGCTTATCTCAACGTCGTGAGCAAAGCCGAGAAGCCAATGAATAACGACGTAGCGCTCGTTGGCCAATAGAAACCCGGATTTCGCCCCACCCGCACTTCCCCGCATCCCGGAGGCGTAAAAACTAAAATCCGTCGGGGAATCCGGGGAAGAGCCATGTGATTCGATGTGCAGTGAGTTGCACTTCTTTGCTGGTTTGAAGCATTCAGACCATTAAAAGCCCTTCAGAGGACGAGCCAGTAAGGCTTAAAAGTTTATCATGTCAATGATTGATGCAGTGCTGGTAGTAGGATCATAGAATTAGTGGGATCATCTATACCGGCGGCTGGGCGATTTTGTGCAATTATGAATGCCCAGAAAGGATGTGTAAACGGGCCCCCAGATCCGACCAAGTTTCAGTTCTTGGGACAGGCATTCGCCATGGCGATTAAGAGGCGAGGATGGTAGCGAATGGCATGATGGGATGTTTGCAAAATCCCGAGGTTTGAGGGGTATTCATGCCGCGGTGAAAACAGTTATTCAAGGCCTTCAGATTGAGAGGCCAGTCTGGGTGCATGCTTGCTGCATTTCCTGCTTGTTTTCTCTTGTCTCTTGCTTTTTTTCCTTTGGCTTATTTCCTGCAGATCGGTTTGGTTTGGCTCTTGTCTGGCGGTCTGCCCGAAGCACTTCCAGCCCGCTTACAAAGCATCTGCAAGTAAGTTAGGCTCCAAGTGTCGCTAACTAGCAGCCTGCTACTTCGTCATGGAGGGCACTTTGGGGGAGGAAAAAAAAAAATATGAATTAAAGAACATTTTATGGAGAATTGCAGACGGAAATTATCCATAAATATTAAGGCTGCAAAATCCGCATTGCCAGGCATAAATCAACAGCATAAACATCGTCCTAATATCCGCCCATGCGCTGAACGCGTTGTCAATGGATCACAGGGCAAATTTGATGACCTGCAGCTCTCGACCGGGGTGTTTATAGTTATGCAGACGCCGAAAAAGACACGCCAGCCAACAGCTTGTGCCGAGTTATTGTCAGGGGGGAGGGCTTCCGAACGCGCCATCTCTCGAAGAAAAACAAAATATGTAACCGTGCAGGATCTCTGTGCATGACACCCACAAAAGGATTTATCAGCATGAACATGGGTTGCTTCGTTCCCGTGAGGTGTGTTTTTCTCCTCCATGTATGTATACGGAGTACTCCGTACATCAAACACGATCACAGAGCGAGGCCCTTTTTTTTTTTTTTGCCCGCTGATGAGACATTACTTCCTCACATGCGACAGGAATAAGGAGCGTGCAGCTTCTGACACAGCGGGAAATTCTTGGCGCTGACCGCGCGGCTTAACTACTCCGTACACGAAAACCGTAAACTGACCTATCAACCACCCCGGCATCCAAACCGCCGCGAGCTTGTTTTCTCCTGATCTCGAGAGTCAAGATTTGTTTACGAGGCGTGGTGGTACATCGATCTCGGAAAACCACATCAGGACCCTCGAAAGGCAACGCAGGTACCGACTGGGGTACGTAACATCAAAACAGGGGGAAGAGACTTAACCTGGTACGAATACGCGAGAGCAGCACCAGAGGGGAGAGTATGACGCAAGAAGCACAGTAAGCTCGCCTTTGCAAAAATCAAGGATAAGATGAAAATCAATCAAAAATGAAAAAAAAAAAAAAAAAAAAAAAGGGGAAACGGGGCCTTATACTACCATGCTTGCCGCACAAAGTCTTCAGTAACTACGGAGTATCGAGGAGATAAAGGCTCAAGAAATCAAGAGAAACTTTTCATCCAAGAGTCATCTGTATTTCAATATGCCTACCGAGCTCCGATCCTGTAGCGACAGCGAGCCTATTCATGAAAACAGCACAAAACCAAAATAGCAATCAGCATATCCGAGCCCCAATCAACATATTTCCAGCGCCGAGGTATCTGGCAAAAGGGCAGCCATCCAGATATTGGAAGGAACCAAAAAGAGCCAACGATGAAAAACGAGTGAGACAAAACCCAACCAAGTGCAGTCATGCTCAATGGCATGTAAAAAAGCGATGGACCCTGATCTAGCGAGGGGGGGTATATAGGCATATAAATCAATGGGATATCATGAGTGAAAACAAATGGGGTCGTCAATACCAATCCATAGGGTGGAAGAGAAAGGAAAGCGTTGCACTCTATCCGAGATATGAAAAGGAAGAAAAAAAGCCGCCAGTGTGTAAGATGGTGTCTGGAATTGATCCAGTGCCGCCTGTTTTTGCCATATATACCTCCTTAAAATATGAGAAAAAGAAAAAAAGGGGGAGGAAGAAACAGTATCTCGACGGCGGGTATCAGACGTGCTGCAATCTTATATCACTGCTCAAAATCGGGTATAAGAAAGAAAAATAAGGGGGTAGGCGAAAGAAAAGGCAAAACAAAAAAGAAAAAAAAAAAAAAAAAAAGGTATAGTACAAGGTTATTAGTGACATAAAGTCGGGAATCGAACGCAAATCGGTAAACCGTAAATCGCAAGTAGGAGTGTCAAGAGGCGGACGCTAAATAGGGCGGATCAAGAATCGCTATATGTGAAGCTTTCTATATGTCGTCAAAAAGCCATTGGGAAATGTCAAATACGCAAAAGTCTTATCAGGCCTCTTCCTCAGGCGAGCCAGACTCTTTGTCATTTTTGTGCACCTTTTTGTGACGTCGTAGGTTCGATACAACTGAAAAATGTCTTCCGCAACCCTCAACTTCGCAGGCATATGCTGTAATCTCAAATGTTAGTTTTCAAGTTATACAGCATGGATATTTGCTGCATTAACTTACGTTTTTCACCTGTGTGACTGTACATATGCGTTTGCAGTGAGGACGGGCGAGTGAATCGCTTGTCGCAAACTTTGCATTTGTGCTTCTTCTGCGTGTTCGATGGCACTTTGGAGCTGAACTGGCCCATCATGGACTGCGGAGGAAGAGCACCAGCCAAAAGGCCAGACGGTCGGGGCAACGTCCTTGATAGTCCGTCATAGGAATCCGAAGTTGTAGAACTGTAATCTGTGACAGACGAGTCCACGGAAACAACAGATGCACTGTAGTATGGATAATTGTTTGCTGAAGAAATGGATGACGCAGATGAATGTGTTGATGGAAAGCCGTATGAGTCCACGGAGCCACGAGAGCTGCGAGGACCATAGATAGCGCGAGGCGTGAGGTCCTGGCTCAAAGCAACCATGCCTCGACTCGCATCAAGGGCATCGCTGAAGGTCACTTGCGGTGGCTGTGTCGCATGCGGAGAAGTCTCGTTCCTATTTCAGTACGAATGAGTTTTGAATCCGAGAAGAGTGACGAAGAATTGCTGAAAAGGACTAACCCTTGATGCACACTCCGCGCCTCCAAGTGCGTTGCATGGTGCGGTGGTGGCGGATGCTGGTGGTGGGGAGGTTGATGTTGGTGCTGTTGTTGTTGCTGCTGCTGGTGCATATGCAGCGACTGCGCGTATTCCAGGGACGAATAGTTTGCAGGTGTGAAAGATGCCATCTGCGGTGCAGTCGTGCAGGGCTGTGACTGCTCGAAGGTGGTCCGGGGAAGCTCTGTGGGTAGTACGACGAGTTCCGAGCCACCATATCCCACACTATTGTAGTTTCCGCCGTGAACCATTGCCGGCGCAGAGACCTGCCCGTTTGCATAGGAGACAGGAATCGCCGGAGGCCTTGAAGCGTCCTCCCGTTTCATGCCCACTGGATTGGCCGCCACAGCAGGCTGATACACGGAACTTGGCGGGTGCGAGGTGCTGTGTGGAGGCCATCCTTCACCAAAGTGTGGTGGGTTGGCGCGGCTATGATTCTGGTAGACACTATCGTAGCTGAGCCCGCCATACTGGCGACTTCCACTCTCCATAACCATCGTCATCGAGAACAGCGAGTATGGAGACTTTAAAATAATTAAAAAAATAAATAAAAAAAGCCAAAAAGCTGTCGGGATTATTTTAGAGAATGAATGTGCGCTTGTCTCCCAGGTACCAGGAAAGTCACTGAGCAGCTCAAGGCGTGACGACGATCAGATCGACCCCAGCGCAGCAGCTTTGACCTGCTGCTCTCGTGCTCTCAATTTTCGGAGTGGAATCGTCCCTGCTGGCGCCCATGTACAGCCACGAACTTTTCTTAGGCGAAGAACCAGTGAACGTAAATCCCCAAGAGTCCGCAATGCTAACAGCACCCAAAGAGAAGATTGAACCGACACAAGGCGCAAAGATGGGATCGCAAGTGGTTGAACAGAAAGGGAAGAGATTGCTAGGCTGAAATCCGCGATGATGGGCGGATCGGCGTGATTAACGAAGGAAGATCGTGCGGTATGTGTATGTTTATCAGGCACGGATGCTCAATATACAAACAGAATGTTTCAAATGGTGATGGGGGAGGCAAATGGCATTATAATTATTAGGAGTACGTATGTATCGATGGACGGGCTGGGCCGAATGTTTTATGTATGGGAAGGGGGGGGGGAATCGGACCCGGGGAGGCAAAAATAAAAAAAATAAAAGGAAGACCACAACAAGCTGGGAACCAGGAAGAACAAGCAGAGCAGGAGAACGCGGCCTGTCAGCAAAGATGCAACGTCTATTTAGACTGGAGTCAATAACGAAAGGCAAGAGGGGGAACGATGATAAAAGAAAGGCGCACGATTCATGGATGGGAGTCGGCTGGATGTAATAAGGACATACCGCTACGAAATTGTGGAGCAACCTGGAGTGATGGAGACTGGTTTTTTTTATTTTTTATTTTTTATTTTTTTTTTTCCTGTCCCTTTCGATGGGGATAATAGGCTGTCGACTGCTCTTTTTTGGATTTCGATGGGATGCAAGGGAAAAAAGTGAGTTACTTTCCGTACGGAACACCTACGCTGTAACAAGGCCGTCCGTAAGATACCCGTCCGGTAACTTACGCAGCTCAGCAGCGCCGAGCCTTGCACACCTTCTTTTCCATCCCTCCCCATCTCAAAATTGTCGAATTATCTACCAGGGTGTCCAGCACGCTGAAATGTGATCGAAATCTCAGTGCTACTCCACACTGAGAAAATACACACGCACGCATTTCATCGTTACCTACAGGGAGCAAGCACAAGGGCAAAGGCAAAAGACCGAAGTGCGGATTTCACACGAATTGGCTTTTGCGGGTGTTGCAAAAAGAAAGGTAACTCTAAGTTACCTAGCTCCGTCTGTAACCCAGAAATACAGTCTTGATACTCTGGTAACCTCTCTCTCTTCTTCCTCTCCAACTTCCTCTCTGTTGTTCGCGCCAACATCAAGGTTCTTGTCCCAGAGGAGGTGATGTAGATCCTCAGTGGGCAAAAACTCTTTTGAAAGGGGTACTTTTGTTCTTGACCCTTTGTACGGAGTACTTTTTCTTTTTTTTTTTTTTACCTATTCCCTCTCAACGGGCGCCACTGACAGAAGATGCGTCGAGGGGCGCACATTAGCGTCCATTGGCTCGACAGGGGTAAACCTTTAGAGTTCAGGTTTCTTAAGGGTGTGGGCCCTTCCATCACTTGCATGCTGTGCCCCCAAGAATGGCATAGTGCATATATAAGTGATTCCGTCCTAGATTTCTTTTGTCTGGAAGAGATAACTGGCGAGCCATGGTTGCTGTGTGGAGGGTTTTCTGAGATGTTTTGGGTGAGGTTCTCCATCTGCGGTATGGACGTATACGAAGAGGGGTTGGGAGCAGCTATTCGTCGTGCGCTCTCTGCTCTCGCCCTCTTTTTTTTTTTTTTTTTTTTTTTTTTTTCCACTCTGTAGTATCCTCTTTCGGTCGTAGTATAGTTATATACCTACATAACTCCCAGCCCGTGCACAAGTCTTGCTACTTTTTCCCACCAAGGATCAGATTTTAACCCATACGGGACACCTCCCTTCTTCCCCTCCCCGTGCTTTTCCACTTCGCGCATCGAAACCTGATTGAAGAGATCGATATTTTATCAGCCTCGATTCGAGAACATGACCCATTCCATATTATCACAGTTATCAACCAAGATCAATAACCCCCTCTCCGTGTAACAAACCTTTGGACGCAGGGATGCTTTCAATGCACAAGGCTTATTTATTATTGGCTATGGATGCAAAGCATCCGAGCCAAGGCCATTGCAAAAGGACCAACAATCCAGCACGCCTGAGTTCTCCAGACGGGAAACAAGGATACATAACTTGGCTAGCTGGAGGGGACGAGTTTCGCTGATGACGAGTTCATTTCTCCCTCTTCATGAGCCCTGCGGAGATAAAGTGACGAAGATATAGCCTTGCAAACATCTACATGCAACATGGACAAGGTGCTGAGAAGCTCCTTTCCATTTCTTTTCCCCTATTCCTCCCCGAATATCGCCCTCGATAAGCACGGTCAAGCGTTGTCATTCGCGCAATTTCAGGTTGGGCTAAACTGAGTCGAAATTATTGCACCCGCACCGGCGCTGCTTGGATTCAAAGTTCCAAAAAGTGCCACTAGTGGTTAATCCATTTAAGCTTATCTGATTGGCTTCGATAGCTGATGTGATCAGTCACAATTGCCCCCTCCGAAAGGAGAATCAAGCAATCTGGATTTGTCAGATGCATCCAGACTTGCGCCTTGGTCGAGAAGAACCAATCGCAGGAATGGGGAACACCTCGTTCCAAGCAGTTGGCAGTGCTCCTGTCGCAGTGCTACAAAAAAGTAAAATAAAAATTAAAGTATGGACGGAGTACGGAGTAGGTGTGTACGGAAACGACTCGAACACATAAAAACATTGTCCGTCCAAGAGAATTGAGCTCGGCAACCATAACAATACAAACATCTCAAGTGTCTCTGACCAAAAACCTTCAAGAAATCAAGGTTCGCAGGGACTCACAGGCCTCAGATCACAAACAAGGGTATCCCGGCAACTTAGATTTGACATGGGTGATCAAGAGTGGATACCGCTTAACTCACAATGCTGACTTGGCACGAGTACAAGCGTTATGCTCAGCCAGCATCCAAGGACAGAAGCGTGGGGGTCAGTCCTCTGTGGATGTATCTCTCCCGAGACGGCTTCGGGGAGGGACAACGCGCCCTCTTTCCGCCGGGTCTTGCCCAACAGTTTCGAATCTCTGGCGGAGAAGCGGTGGGAATAAGATTTTGTACGTGCTGTACGTGTTGTATGTGGTAAACAAGGAACTTCTGCGAAACGTGTATTTCAGCCAGGCTGACGCACGGTTATTTTTCACGCCTGGCACAGAAAAAAAAAATTTCAGATGAGATGGGCTTTTTTCTTTTTTTTTTTTTTTTTTTCCTTTCCTTTTTTCCCCCTTGTCGCCACCATGCCAGCCTCTTGAGCTGTCGGCGCGCCGTACATGTTGGGCAGCAAAAAGCAATTCAAGTTGGCATTGCTCCGACAGGAAAGGAAACATAACCCAAATCATTAACTAGTGGCGCCGAAAACTTTGAGATACGCCGTGTGAGCCGCCCTTTGGCCCAAACCAAGGTTTGAAAATGGGCGGAATGCGCCAAAGAACCGCCGGATTTGCAGTGCGACGGAATGGGCGCCATTAGCGTCAGGATAGTGCACATCCTGAGAGGCCACTCAGGTCTTGGCTGAGGAAATCGGTCACAGGTCAAAGAGCCTTGGCAAAAGCTTCCATACCAATTGATATCGGAGCTAACGCATCCCTTGAACCTCTATCCTCCGCAGCTCCCCGTCTCTCCGCCGAAGAATACGGGAGTCACAGCGAATGGTAGGTTGGCAAAATATCAAGGTGAGATTAGTTTGCAAGATGATTCTATTGGGCTTCACGTGATTATTGCATGATGCACCTTGAGCTCACTACAGGGCATTAGTTGTCACTGTCCCCCGGGGGGGTGTGTTTGGCCAAATTTGCGGCTTCAATTCACGACCGCCTGTCGGAGCATGAAAGCTGCGAGCTATGCCTATCAAGCCATAAAGAAATGTCGGGCATGAAGCGGAAAGATGCAGGCGATGCAGTCGTCTGTCAGGAACAAAGAAATCAAAACGACTTTTGGGGATGGCTTCCCTCAAACATCTTTCCCCAAAAGTCGCGTTTAAGTCCCACCAAACGGTCTCCAATGGTACGAGCTGAATGCAAGATCGACGTCGACCAAAGCGGCCGCAGGGGCGCTTAACTCTAAAACTGGCGCGGCGGATACTCCGTGCTTGAGTGAGTTTTAAAAAAGCAAGGAATTTCCGGTCCGGTGGGCGAAAGAATACCATCCCCCAAAGGTTCAACGCGATCCCCTGCTCCTACTCTCCTTCTTAAGCTCATCGAGGGAGACAATGTATGGCCAGGCAGAGCCCAGAGCTATCCGTTCACAATTTTAAAAAAAAAAAAAAAGGAAACCTACCGTTCTTGTGACTTGAAATTGGCTATACATGTGGGCCAACCTTTGGAACCGGGATTCCGGCGATATTGTGAACCATTGAGGTCTGAAACCAATAATGATCCCTTAGTGGCTGTATACCGCCACGACAAGTAAGCCCCAGTGACGCAGCAATGGGCACTTGACGAAGCAGGAGGTACATACCTTACTGATGCTGACGAGTCGCCAGCCGGTACCGAGATGAAAGAAGTGCGACAAACCAAGGATGTGAAGCTTGGAGCCTCCTTGTCCATACGGGGGACTCCGATAAAAGGCATATCTTTCCAGCTTGCCGACAACAGCTGCCGGCAATCGTCAAGCCTGGCGGCGCCACCTGGAGAGACTCGGGGAGGACCTCGTGAGAAAGGCCTTTTCGGGAGAGCAAAAGAGAAGAGAGAAAGAGCTCCGAAGGAGGAATTCCCGCAAAGCCCATGACCACTTGCATGACGCGAGATCGTTGAATGCGGGGAAGGGCGGTGATTGATTAGATAATAGCAAGATGTAGGTGGGGAGGTCTGTCATCCTGCGCCCCTT